CCTTGTTTTAAAAGAAAAGGGGGAACTGGAGGGGTTGGGCTTAAAGATCCCCAAACACAATTAAATTATTGCCTTATAGTAAAAAACTTTTTAACATTGACATCCACCACACGCGGGTCCCCCGCGACCCTGCATTGGGGACTCTTGAAAACACTTACGCTGGTCCCTTTGGTTAGATGGAGGGACCCCATCACAAGAAAATGGGAGGGTCCTGCTCCCTTAATGGCACAAGGGAGAGGACTTGCTTGTATCTTTCCAGACACGAGTGATAAACCTGTTTGGATCCCAGCTGGAGTTGTCCGACCAACCGTCACCACCTACGAATGAGATGCGTCGACTTGAACAGCCCGAGGAGGAGGAGACGCAACCCTCCAGCTAAAGCCCATGCCATCACTTGGGGAGACCTAAAGGGATTGGCAGAACAAGCCCAGGCTATGGCCCCAGACCCTGACCCGGGCCATGGTACTCTAGTCCTCCGAATGTGTGCCATTATTACAGCCAATTCTCAATCTGCTGCAGAGCAGGGTAAGATAACGTTAGTGCCCAGCCGCCCTCAAAGCTTGATGATGGTAGGGGAAGATACCACCACCGTCCCTCAAATGCTTTCTTCCAATGGCACGGTTGGGCTTCCTGTCTCGGCAGACGCCCTATGGCACCAAAAAACAAACCTTACTTTTGGATGGGAGGAGCCATCTCTTTTTGTTTTTCAAACGAGCCGGTAAAGCTGTTTGATGGCTGTACCATCCCCCTCACGACAGTGACGCATGGGCCGGGATGGTGGAACTGCACAGTACCCTACCCCATTTGTCCCTCCGAACGAAACTGCACTCGGGCTACTGACATTCCTTTTCATACGCAGTTGTGCCCACGCAGGGAGATCGATAGCTTTGGCAACGTTTCCACTCCTCTTGAGGAATTAGTGATTAGCCTTTGTGCCAGTTCCTGGCAAGGCACAGTATTTGGGGACCTCACATTGTCCCTCTACCCGGCTATATACAACCAATCTGAAAAAGATCCCAAACCTCAAAATCTAAAGGAGGTTTATGACTCTTCTGGGGGACAATTGGGAGACCTAGGACCCTTCATACCAATCGTTTGTTCATCACATTCCTGCCTGGATTTTTCCCCTTTCCTATTGGCCAATACTGGTCGCTGTAACCGATCTGCATGCGACCAGGGGTCAGGAATGGTAGTGGTTAGAGCCCTGTTCTTTTTTTTATCTAGGAGACAACTCCTCCGCCACCTGCACTCTCAGCAATCACTGGTAACCCAATGACTCATTCTTTTGTAGGTTTGGTACGTGTTTCCCCATTTATTGTTCTGGCTAATAATGCCTCTCAGTTTTCCCAGGTTCAATTGATTCGTCCGCTCCCTAAAAGAGCAGTAGGATTGATCATTGCGATTGTGTCAGCGATCATCGCTACAGTGGCTTCTGCTACCACCGCCGCTATATTGCTGTCCCAAAGCGTGTCCACCAGGCAACAGATAAACCAGCTCATCCCTCAACTGCCATCCATAGCATTACAACATTTGCAAGTTGCCAATCATCTTAAGGGAGGCCTTCGTGTGCTCCAACAACAAATAGACTTGCTCCAAGAAGAGATTATATTTCTTCCATTACAACAGGGAGGACTATGTAATGCTATGACTACTTCTGTCAGCTTTCCACTCCCGCGCCCAATGTCACTAAACTTAGTGACTACATCAAAGGCCCTTGGTCCCTTAAGTACTTAAACTTCACCCACCACCTGCTGCATGATGTTACCTGCCTAAACCAGACCACCATACAGCTTATTCCCGCTGCCTCTTTTTTAGAAGATGTGCTTCAAAAGTTACAGCAATGGGGCTGGGAAGGTGGTTCAGTGGTAGAGTACTTGCCTTGCATGCATGAGGCCCTGGGTTTGATTCCTCAGCACCACATAAGCAAAAAGAAAAAAGCCGGAAGTGGCATTGTGGCTCAAGTGGTAGAGTGCTAGCCTTGAGCTGAAGAGCTGAGGGACAGTGCCCAGGCCCAGAGTTCAGGCCCCACAACCAGACCCCCCCCCAAAAAAAAACCAAAAACAAAAGTTACAGCAATGGTTTTCACCATCCCCTCTGGTCATCTGGGGAGGCCTTGTGCTATTAGGGTTATTTTTCTGTTTTGTTTTTTAGTTTTGGTCCAGTCCTAGGGCCTGAACTCTGGGCCTGGGCGCTGTCCCTCAGCTCTTAGCTCAAGGCTAGCGCTCTACCACTTGAGCCACAGCGCCACTTCTGGTTTTTTTTCTTTTTGCTTATGTGGTGCTGAGGAATCGAACCCAGGGCCTCATGCATGCAAGGCAAGCGCTCTACCACTGAGCCACCTTCCCAGCCCTAGGGTTATTATTCTGGGAATTATTAAGTGCTTGCACTCCCGACAAAGACGCCTCCAACAACGGGTCACCATAATGACTGTCCTTTTAAAAGAAAAGGGGGAATTTGTGGGTAGAGCTGGTCAGATCTGGTTGAGTCAGCTAGAGTACAGTTGAAGCACACTTCCTGCTCATGGAGACGTGACCCACAAGCACGTCTGCCTGGCCTGCCAGCCATGAGCCGGCCACGCTCCCTACCTGCCCCCGAGGGACCAATCAGCGCCTGTCACCAGTCAGCGCCCATCACAAGTGCCTTACATTAACTTCCCGCTAAGTGATTGGCCGGGAAGGACTCAGGAGGTTGGGAAAGCTGGGCCTATAAAATCCCCCCTTGCGCAGAAATCAACGAGACCTGCTCAAGCCTGTTCTCCCGACCTGTGTTCCTTGTGTGCGCCGTTCACGCTTACCTCCTGCGGAGATGTAGCCTCCCAGCAGGAGCCAAAGCCTGTGTCCAGCCAGCCTCCACCTTTGTGGGGACCAGCAAGCTATCGGCATGGCCCGTCACGACTCATCCCGTGTTAGCGGGCCACCTCTCCCGGAGGGACTAAAAGTTCTCAGACTCTCTTCAGCTTTTGTTCGCCATTGTGGTTACTGTGCCTTCCAGAGCTTCTCATCGTGTCTTCTCACAAGACTTTCAGAATCAAGCGGTTTCTGGCCAAGAAACAAAAGCAAAATCGCCCCACTCCCCAGTGGATTCGGATAAAAACTGGTAACAAAATCAGGTACAACTCCAAGAGAAGACACTGGAGAAGAATCAAGCTGGGTCTGTAAGGAATTGCTTCAGATGCCCACATATTTATGCTCTACCATGAACCAGTCAAGCTGAAACGTCAGTACTGTCTGGACTGACAGTTGGGCAGTTTTTAAATGGATTTTTCTTTGGTTATTTTAATAATGGGCACAGTAATAAGCATGTCATAAACATTACATTTGAAAGGGAAAAAAAAGTTCTCAGACTGTGAGCATGAACCCGTTTCATTTCCCATCTGCAGGAAGGGAATCCAAAGGGGGAGAGGGGAGGGGAAGAGGGAGGAGGAGGAGATGAACAGAGAGGAGGAGGGAAAGAAGATGAAGGAGAGGGGAGGGGCAGGACTGGAAGAGAACTCTGCTAGAAGTCATCTTGGACTATATTCTGTTGCCTGTTCCTCAATCTCACACCCTGGGTGAGTTTAAGGAGAAGAGGTTGGTGTGGGCTCACCTGTCTGGTCCAAAGTGAAGGGCTCACACGTAGTGTGGGCCTTGTTAGTGGAATTCCCACTGGGGGGGGAGTACCCCTCTGGGGAGAGCCCTAGTATGAGCGTGTCCGTGTGTCTGCCCTCTCCCTTTCCGTGTCAAGCCAGGGCTGTGGGTCCCCGCTATGCTGGTGACATCATCACCCGATCTCTATCACCTCCCAAGCCCTCCCCTCTGAGCACCGAGGTAGGGTTAAGTCTCCAGCCTCCATGAGTTTGGAGGCTCAACTCCAGCCTGACTTCCAGAGGGGACAGGTCATGGCAGGAATGTCTCCCATGGAGGCTGGACTGTTGTAGAGGGGGAAGGGGAAGAAGGGGAGGGCGAGGAGGAGGGGTGTGTGTGACCAGAAGTGCACTGTGTATGTATAAAAAGGGCATAATGGAAGAACTGTCAAAATGGGGGGGGGGGGGGCCGGGCTCAGGACACAGTGTCACAGTGAACTTCATCAGAGTATGATTATATGCTTGTAAATAGCATCATGAAACCCCCGCTGTATGATTCATTTTAGGCTAATAAAAAATAAAGTAGCTTGCCCAAGAACACACACACACACACACACACACACACACGCACGCACACACACACACCAGTAAAGGCAACTCTAGCCCCTCACATGAGGCTGGTAAAGTTTTTACACTGTGGTCTGAGCTAGTTCACATGACGTCATTGACGTGCACGCTTTAATCACCTGTCCGAGCTTAGAGGGGAAAGGGGAGGGGGCGTGAAATCTGGGAAGTGAAAAGGAAAAAGCAGCCCAGGGGAACTAGTTTCCTTCCCCCCCTTCCCAAGGCGTCCCCCCCCCCCCCGTCCCAGCCCGCCACGCCCCCGGCCACGCCCCCCGCTGGCCGCAGGCCCCAGGACGACGCCGGGAGATGCTGCAGGTGGGAGTTTCCCAGCAGCCCCCGCGGCGCTGGACCACACGGCCGCCCGGGGCGCCCCGGGGCGCCGCGCCCTGGCCGTGGCCTGCGCCCGGCGTCGATTTTGAGGTTCCTCTCCCCACATTCCGGGCCTTCCAGTCGGGCTTTCTGCCAAGGCAGGGGCGCCACGGGCCGGTGGATGCTCCTGCGTCCTCTCGGTAACGTTGGCTTCGCGCGCCGGGGTTACCCACGCGCCCGCGCCGCCGCGCTCGGGGTGCTCGGGGAGGAAACCGAGCCCCCCCTCTTTCCCGGAACTCTCCCCGCTCCGCCCCCGCCGCGGCCTGAGCCCATCGTGGGCGGTTCCCGAACGAGTTCCTCCGCGCACATCCGGCTGCAGAACCTCTCTGACAGCCTTTTCCCACGAAGGCGCTTCATTCACCGCGCGAGCGAGAAAAACAACACCTACCCACCCACCTCCGAAAAAACCCAGCCAGGGTTCGCGCCCCGGCGCCCCGGGGCTGCCGGCCTCGCCGCCCGGGACTTGCCCGGGACGCCGGCGGGCCGGCCACTCGCTGCTCCCGGCCTCAGTTTCCCCTGGGGGCAAGAGGTAGAGAAGCAGACAAGCACCGGGTCCCCCGTGGTATTGGAGACCAAGGACACGATGGCAGTCGGCAGGTGGACACCCAGTTGCCCTGGATCAGTCAAGCCTAGGTCCGTTGCCTGGTCCCCCGGTGCCCCCTGGTGGCTTTTGCCGGCCTCTGTCTCCCCCCACCCCACACACCTGCTCCCGGGCTCTAGATCCAGCCCAGAAAACTCCAGTAGGAGCCCCCTGCCCACCTGATGCCCACCCTCCATCATCCCTGCCTCTCATAGACCCCACCTCCAGCAGTAGGCAGAGACCTATTTCTCTAGGTCTGGCTGTGTGGTTGGTGCCTGGCCAGCCCGCGACCTCTCTGTTGAGTGGCATGAAGCTGTGGAGCTGTGGTGTGAATTAAACAGGTGAATTTATGCCTTAACCTGGGATCCGCACCTTGCGTGGTGGACGCACCAGACGTTTACTAACCTCATTCTTCATGGGATCCTGGCTGGGGGAGGCCAGTATACTGGGGAGGGAATAAATCACGCCTCAAGTGAACAAATGATGTCCCCCGTTGAAAGTTAATTTTGTTGTGAGAAACACAACTGAACAACAGAAATGCAAAACCAGAAGCAACCCGGTGGCCTCCTCCAGCGTTTGTTGCTGCATCTCCTTATGTTGGTTACATGCAGAATGTCTGCCTTTTTTGTTTTCTTCTTTGCAGTACTAGGAATGGATCCCAGGACCTTTGCACCTGTCACGCAAGCACTCTACCACTGAGCTGCACCACTGGGCCCCCTGAAATTTCATACCCTATTTCTTTCACCATTCACAGTTGACCATCAGCATCGTGAAGGGGTATGGGTTCCCAGACCATAGTAGATAATCAGATCCACAAAAATTCAAGCCTGTAATCCTCCCCCCCCCCCCCCCCGAACACACACACACATACACACACACTCAGGAGGCTAAGATCTGAGGATCATGGTTCAAAGCCAGCCCTGGGGCAGGAAAGTCCATGAAACTCATCTCCAATAAACCACCAGAAAACTGGACGTGACTCTTGGTTCAAGTGGTAGAGCACTTGCCTTGAGCTGAAGAGCTGAGGGACAGTGCCCAGGCCCAGAGTTCAAACCCCACAACCAACAACAACAACAAAAAAATTCAAGCCCCTTCCTTGTATGAAGTCCTACTGCATTTACAAAGAACTTGGTTCTGTGCAAGTAAGCGATCTCCAACAACTTACAGTGCCCAATACTGTGTAAAACATGGTCACCCAGAATAACAAGATACAATGGGGGTGGGGGTTGCACGCATGTGCTCTAGTTCTGAGGCTTGAACTCAGAGTCTGTTTCTGAGCTTCATTCTTTGCTCAAGGCTCACATACCACATGAGCCACACAGTTCCACTTCAGACTCTTGGAGCTGGTTAATTGGATGAGAGTCTCACTGACTTTCCAACCCAGGCTGGCTTTGAACCATGATCCTCAGATCTCAGCCTCCTGAGTAGCTAGGATGACAGGCGTAAACCACCAATGCCCGTTGATACAATGTTTTTCAAAAGGTTCTTCAGGCCACAGTCAGTTGGTTCCAAGGTTATGTGTGGAATGCACGTGCACACACGTATTCACACGTGTTCATGCTCACTGCTATTCCCCTTTCTATCTCTCCTGATGCTCAGCCACCACCCCTGCCCTGGAGAACTCTGCTTCTCCTCTCCATACTTCCCCGACTGTCAAGCTGAACTTGGGATGCAATGTCCAGGCCCAGCTCCTGGAAGCTGGTTCTCCTTTGGGCCTGCGGGTGGGTGGTGGGTGATGTGTGACCAGCCGGAGACAGCTGAGTTTTGGTTTCACTGAGTGTTTTCAGGTTCACTCTTGATTATCATAAAGAATGGTAGCTTTCCATCTGTGATGGGGACAGCATTGCCTGAAAATAATCATAGTTAAATAAAAGGAGGACTGGGAATGGGGCTTAGTGGTAGAGTGCTTGCCTCGCAGGCATGAAGTCCTGGGTTCGATTCCTCAGCACCACATACACAGAAAAAGCTGGAAGTGGGGCTGTAGCTACTCAGGAGGCTGGGATCGGAGGATCATAGTTCCAAGCCAGCCCACCAAAAAGCTGGAAAGAGAGCTGTGGTTCAAGCAGTAGAGCCCCAGTCTTGAACGAAAAAAAATGAAGGGACAGCATTCAGATTCTGAATGAGAGTCTGAAAGAGAGAAAGAGAGACAGAGAAAGAGAGAAAGGGAGGGAGGAAGAGGAGAAGGAGGAGGAGGGAAGGCGGGGCTGGGAATGTGGCTCAGTGGTAGAGTGCTTGCCTAGCATGCATGAAGTCCTGGGTTCGATTCCTCAGTACCACATACACAGAAAAAGCCAGAAGTGGCGCTGTGGCTCAAGTGGTGGAGTGCTAGCTTTGAGCAAAAGAAGCTCAGGGACAGTGCCCAGACCCTGAGTTCAAACTCAAGAACAGGAAAAAAAGTTAACTAAATAGAAGGAACGTACATGAGGGGGAAAACGGTGCTGGAAAGGCTCAAGTTGCAGGCACCACGTCCATGGGAAATGCTCGTGTGCCCTGGGAGCCAGCCGTCCCCAGACACCAGGGCCATCCAGCCTGCTCCCCCACTTTTCCCCCAAGCTCCGGTCCTCCCCAGAGGGCTTTGTGCTTCTTCCGCCCACTCAGGCCGCTCCTCCTGAGGAGTACAACACCCTTGGCCTTATGCATCATCTTGGGGTCAGGTGGGGGATGGACATCAGGGCACCTGGCTTCTGTGGAACTAATTTCGTTTTCAGCCATCCAGGGCACTGGACACAGGCTCAGCCAATCAGAGCACACCTTTCCCAGACTGCCTACTGATTGGTTCAAGAATAGTCAGGTACTTACAACTGACCAATAAGAGCTTTTCCTTGTACCACGGTGGAGCCATGAGAAGCAGCTTGAGGTTCATTCAGTCAAAGCCAAAATAGAAGCCAGCAGACCTCGAATGATGGAGCCTTCGGAAGGAACCATGTGACCCCTTGACTCATCCAAGCCTGAGACTTCCTGTTTAAAACAATAAAGTAATTAATTCTTTTTTGTTGTTGTTTTGCTTTTTGCCAGGCCTGGGGCTTGAACTCAGAACCTGGGTGTTGTCTCTGAACTTTTTTGCTCCAGGCAAATGCTCTACCACTTGGGCTGTGGTTCCACCTCTCAGTTGTTTTTGTTTGTTTTGTTGTGGGTTTTTTTTTTTTTTTTTGTCGGTTGTGGGATTTGAACTCTGGGCCTGGGAGCTGTCCCTGAGCTTTTCAGCTCAAGGCAAGCGCTCTACCACTTGAGCTACAGCGCCACTTTTGGTTTTCTGGTGGTTCATTGGAGATAAGGGTCTCACGGACTTTCCTGCCCAGGCTGGCTTTAAACTGTGATCCTCAGATCTCAGCCTCCTGAGTAGCTAGGATGACAGGCATGAGCCCCTGGCACCCTGCTAGTGTTGTTATTTTTAACAATGGACTATTTCAGAGTGACAGGAAATCACTGCGAGTGTGTATCTGCTTAACTAGACTTGCTGAAGTTGGGGGCTGAGGTTGCTTCTTTCATCTGGTCCCCCAGCATCTGGCCCAAACAAAACGTTCATCAAGGGCTCCCTCAAGCCTCTTGTCTCTGGGCCCCACCAAGACCCTGATGTGTTTGTGGACTGACTGCCACATGCCCACGGTAGACAGTCCTGTTGACCAGGTATGAAAGGCCTCCGGGGTGGGGGAGAGCAGGGCGGGCCCTTCCCACAGGCTGACATTTCAGCCAGCCCACAGCTGAGCTGTCAGTTGCACGCCATAGCTGGTTACTCCATCGAATTTCCCCGGGCTGACCTTGGTAGTGTGGTGGGGAGACTGCTGGGGTAGGCCTGCTGACACCGCTGGCCCGCAGTGGCCCTGGAGATAGGAGGGGACAGCAAGGTGGTGTGCCTCCAGTAGCTCACAGGGGTCGGGGGGTCTGATGAGTGGGTATGGGGGGGGTGATGGGGAGAGCCATGCCGGCTCCTTCCCTGACTCTGGGGGTTCACCCTGGTCAGCCTAGCTCCTCAGGAGGCTGGGATCTGAGGATCATAGTTCCAAGCCAACCCACCAAGAAGCTGGAAGGAGAGCTGTGCTTCAAGCAGTAGAGCCTCAGCCTTGACTGAAAAACAAAAATGAATGGACAGCATTCAGATTCTGAATGAGAGTCTGAAAGAGAGAGAAAGAGAGAGGGAGGGAGGAAGAGGAGAAGGAGGAGGGGAAGGAGGAGGGGGGGGCTGGGAAGGTGGTTTAGTGGTAGAGTGCTCTCCTAGCATGCATAAAGTCCTGGGTTCCATTCCTCAGAACCACATACACAGAAAAAGCTGGAAGTGGCACTGTGGCTCAAGTGGTAGAGTGCTAGCCTTGAGCAAAAGAAGCTCAGGGATAGTGCCCAGATCCTGAGTTCAAGCCCCATGACTGGCGAAAGAAAGAAAGAAAGAAAGAAAGAAAGAAAGAAAGAAAGAAAGAAAGAAAGAAAGAAAGAAAGAAAGAAAGAAAGAAAGAAAGAAAGGAAGGAAGGAAGAAAGAAAGAAGGAAAGAAAGAAAGAAAGAGAGACAGAGAGACAGAGAGACAGAGAGACAGACGGAGAAAGAGAGGGAGGAAGAAGAGGAGGAGGGGAAGGAGGAGGAGGGGAAGGAGGAGGAGGGGGGGGGGCTGGGAATGTGGCTTAGTGGTAGAGCACTTGCCTAGCATGCATGAAGCCCTGGGTTCGATTCCTCAGCACCACATACATGGAAAAAGCCAGAAGTGGCACTGTGGCTCAAGAGGTAGAGTGCTAGCCTTGAGCAAAAGAAGCTCAAGGACAGTGCCCAGGTCCTGAGTTGAAACCCCAGGACTGGCGAAAGAAAGAGAGAGAGAGGGAGGGAGGGCGGGAGGGAGGGAGGGAGGGAGGAGGCCGGCCTGGGACTGTCACCGGGCAGGCCAGCATGTGGGCCGTGCCATTTCCTTAGGTGCTGGCTGCTGGTGGTAGTTCCCATGGCACTGGATCTGGTGCTGCCTGCCCCCGGGGGTGATGACTGTCTCTCTCTGGGGTCCTCAGAGCCTGGACTCCCCACCAGCCAGCGGGGCTGGACTCCAACACCTCAAGGGTAACAGAAGATGGGGGGCTCAGTCAACACCACACCTCCAAACACAACCCCAGAGCCACAGGCCTGGTTAGGTCCAGGCAAGCCCCCCGCCAGCCCTGTCCCGCTGGGGTCTGTGGGGAAAGATGAGGTGCTGGGAGCTCTCAGGGGAGCTATTTGGGTCTGATCAGGCCCAGGCTTGTGGGAGGAGGGTGGAAGAACAGCCCCCCCTCTTAGCTGTGACCTTTTGTGGGACCCGGCCTGGCTGACCCCTCCCCACCCCCACAGCGTGACCTGTCAGTAAATGTCTGGGGATTGGCGGTGGGGGTGTCAATATGTTGCTGAAAATGTGACCTTTCTGTACACGGAGAAACCCCAGAGGCTCTTGCTCGCTCTTTGAGGAAGGGAGTCTCTGCTGGAATGCTCAGCTGCCAGGAAGCCAGGTTGTTACGGTGCTACCGTGAATGTGAGGTTGGTGGGGGGGGAGAGGAGGGGACTGGAGACCCTCGGGCCAGGGATCGGGGCCCTGGGAGCACCCATGGGTGGGGACGCCCGTCCACAGACGCAGGTGGCGGCTGTCACTTAGATGGTGGTCCCAGGGGATCAATGGCAGGGTCATCAATGGAAGGAGACAAGTAGAGGAGGAGGCCACTCCCCGAGGACCTGGGAGGAGCGGGAACAGGGGTGAACCTGGAGGTCACTTAATTGGACATCCAGCTACTGACGGTGTGAACCATCTTGCCCAAGCCTAGCCCTGTGTGTGTGTGTGTGTGTGTGTGTGTGTGTGTGTGTGTGTGTGTGTGTGTGTGTGTGTGCCTGTCTTGGAGCTTGAACTCAGAGCCTGGGCACACTGTCCCTGAGCTGCTTTTTTTTGCTCAAGGTTGATGTTCTACCACTTGAGCCACAGCTCCACTTCTGGCTTATTTTTATTTTTGTGAAATAAGAATCTCGTGAGAATTCTATCTGGGTGGGCGGCTTCAAACCTCGATCCTCAGATCTCAGCCTCCTGCATAGCTAGGATTACAGGCGTGAGCCTGGCCCTCAGCCTATAGCTTTCGACCTGGAAGTGGGGGGGTACTAAATCGGTCCCTACTCACACAGAACTTAAGGTCACCTGTACAATCAAGAGCAACGTGGTGTGGCCCTGCCATGCTGGGTGAGAGCATGGCCTGCTCCATTTGGGGGGGAAATCACAAAACACTTCCTCCAGGAAGCAGTATCTAGGTTAAAATCCACCTTCAAACAGTCAACGCCAACCAGGCTTGGTGGCTTACCCCTGTAATCCTAGCTACTGAGTAGTTACTCGGGCTGGGTTGTGAGGTTCAAAGGCAGAGAAGTACATGAGAGACTCTTCTCTCCAGTGAGCCACCCAAAAGCTGGAAATGGAAGTGTGGCTCACGCGGTAGAGCACCAGCCTTCGAGTGAAAAGGCCAAGGGAGGGAGCTCCAGGAGCTCACAGTTGCCTAATTACTGTTCCCTGGTTGAACTGTAAATAAAAATACCAAAGAGGAAGCGAGGGAGGGAGGGAGGAAGGGAGGGAGGGAGGGAGGGAGGGGCTGTCTGGATTGTATTCTCCCCAGGGGACCACTTGGCTGAAGTTCAAGGTGATGGCCTTCCGGAGGGAGAGTGTCTTCAGGTACTCGCGTGACTCGCGTGGTGCCCCGTCCTGCCTGCACACTGTCTGCCACCCCTCAGTTCCCGACATTTCAAACCCCAGGACCACAGTGCCTTTGCACGTGCAGGTCCTTTTGCCGACCACCTTGTTCTCAGGACTGCCCCTGTCAGAACCTCAACCCATCCTGGGGATTCAGGACGCTACTACCACGTGCATTTCGTTCCTCTGGTACCTTGGTCTGCCTGTCTGTCTTACCGCTGTCTGTCCACCTGTCTGTCTATCTTTCTGCATTAGGAATGGGCTCCCAGAGGGCTGTCACTCTGTGTATGTTTCCGTGTATGTGGCCTGTGGAGCCCAAACGACCAAGTTCGAATCCCAACTCTGGCAGTCGCCTTGCGGTGTGACCTTGGCCAAGTCATTTACCCTCCCTGAGCCTCGGTGTCGTCCCTGGCAACCCAGGGACGGTAATGAAGACAGTGACAGCTGTGATTCTGGAGTTGCCCTTGATACGGAGGTGAGACCCTGTGTCTAAAATCCTTCCCAAGGCTGGGAACGCGGCTCAGTGGTAGAGTGATTGCCTAGCATGCATGAAGCCCTGGGTTCGATTCCTCAGGACCACATACACAGAGAAAGCTGGAAGTGGTGCTGTGGCTCAAGTGGAAGGGTGCTAGCCTTGAGCACAAAATCTCCGGGACAATGCCCAGGCTCCAAGACCAAACCCCAGGACTGGCACATAGATAGACAGACAGACAGACAGACAGACAGACAGACAGACAGACAGACAGACAGACAGACAGACAGATAGATAGATAGATAGATGTATGCTTAGAAAATAAAATCCTTCACACCCTGGTATGGAGGGAGAAGGTTTGCATACACCTCCTCTTCTTACCATTCCTTCTCTTGATCTGTCTGCAGTCCCTCAGTTCTAGAGCAGATTATAAGAATTGTGCCGGTTGTGGGGCTTGAACTCAGGGCCTCATTCTGCCCCTGAAGCTTCTGGGCCTAAGGCTAGTGCTGTACCACTTGAGTCACAGTGCCACTTCAGACTTTTCGGTGGTTCATGGGGCCTCACAGACTTTCCTGCCCGGGCTGGCTTTGAACCTTGGTCTTCACATCTTGCCTCCTGAGCAGCTGGGATTACAGGTGTGAGCCACAGGCTACGAAAGTCACTTTGAAGTAAGTCCAGAAGGAAAAGAAAGGAAATCTGCCTCCTTCTGGTGCGGGGGGTTGGAGGATCCGCTGGGTTGCTTGGGGACGGAGGCCCCCCCCCCACCATTCACTGGGGGGTGGGGAGCAGAATCTGCACCCAGTTCCTCAGCACAGCCAGGAAAACAGGAAACAGAGAAGAGGAAAGACACCACAGGGACTTTCTCTTTTCCTCCGGGCGGCCCCGTGGCCAGCTTCAAATCATTTATCAAATGAGTCAGCCGGGCAGGTGGGGTGTGTGAGCCGAACTGAGCCGAGCTGAGAAACATGGGCGCCTAGACAGACACCCCTTCCCCACCAGGGCCTGCCGGTGGCCCCGTACCCCTTTCTCCAGCCTGCTCTGTGCTTACAAACCAGACTCGGGTGGGGGTTCAAGCCCCCGCTTGACGCTTCCTCTCCTCCCCGGCTGCGTCTTCCCGTGTGTAAAGTTCTCTTGTCTGCGCTCCAGGAGCTTGGCCTAAAACGGGGTGTCACCAGGCTGCTGGCCACTTGAATTTTGTCCCCTGGTTTTCTTAATGTCTGAGCTATCGGATGCCTCGATTACCCCAGGACAAAACTCTCCAGAAAATGTATTAGCCTCTGTCCTGAGCAACTCCCCCCTCCTCATGGTTTGTGGGGGGGGGGGGGAACCCCATCCTTTTAGCACACTGTCCCCCAATTCTCAGAATGGCAAGGGGAGGTGCTCAGAGAGGGGACCCGTGGGGCACCCCGGGGCTCTGGCTGGCCCTGACCACCCCCCCCCCCCCCGCAGACCTGGAGCTGAGGCGGGACCCGGAAGGGCCTGGGGGTTGAGGGGGCCCCCTCGTGGGGTCTCCTCAGGCTCCTCTGTCTCTGAGCTCACAGGGGGTGCAGGGGACTTGATCACCTCTCAGAGCCTCAGTTTCCACCTCCGTGCCACCCTGCTGATGCTCTGAGGTCTGTGGGGGAGCAGGTGTCACCCCAAGGGTCCTAAATGGCGTCTTGGGTGACCTTCGCTGGCCCAGGGGAAGCTGGGGCGGGGCGGGGCGGGGCCTGCTCACCACATCCTCCTCCTCCTCCTCCTCCCTCTCCCTCCCTCCTCCCTCCCTCCCCCTGCCCCCGCCCTCCTCCCGTCAGAATGGCAGCAGCTGCTTCTGCAGGTTGGAGGCTGCAGGTGGCTCGGCAGCCAGCTGCTGCCCGGCTTCGCCCCCAGCCAGACTGACAGCCACGCGGCCGTCTGTCCAGCCCTGCCCCACAGCTTCCTGTCTGTGTCTCGTCTTCTGTCTGTGTCTGTGTCTATCTTCAGTCTGTCTGTGTCTATCTGTCTGTCCCCCCCGCGGCCCCTTCTGCCCAGAAGTGAGTGTCGCTGCCCCCCCTTGGATGCGCGTGGCTGGGGCACAGGCCAGGCCGTCCACGCTGGCTCCCGGCTTCCCACCCAGCCCGGCTGAGCCCCCGAAGGCCCCCAGGCCATCCCAGGCCCCGGAATGGATCCCTGAGCAGCAGGTAAAGCTGGGATCTCCAGCCTCTACTGTGCGTGTCTGTGTGTTCAGGGTGGGTGGAGGGCAGCAGAATGGTGCCAGCTTCTGGATGTTTCTGTGAGTGTGTGTGTGTGCCGGTCCCAGGGCTTGAACTCAGGGCCTGGGTGCTGTTCCTGAGCCACAGCTCCGTTTCTTGCTGTAGGGTAGGTTGATGGGAGATAAGCATCTCACAGACTTTTCCAGCCCAGGCTGGCTTTGAACCACGGTCCTCCGAGCTCAGCCTCCTGAGTAGCTTGGATTACAGGCGGGAGCCACCACGCCCGGCTGGCTTCTGGGTTTTGATTACACTGGATTTTCCAGGAGAGGGGCTAATGTGCCTGCTGCACAGACAAGGAGAGGGAGGGACGCTGGGAGAAGGGATCCAAGCAGAGTGTGGGGGCACTGGGGGGGGCAGCTCGGTGACCCCACTCCGTGTCAGCCTTTCCACGAGTCAGACAGTAAGAGGGGGAGCTCCCGGCGTGGAGGGGAGGTTAGTGGAGGGCAGAGGAAGAAAAGCAATGTATGGGAGGCTGGGGGTGCCCGGACTAAGAATTTGGGACTTGTTCAAGGCCAACCCTGGGGGGCGTTGGGCAGCGCGGGGTGGGAAGGGTCTCGGAGCGCACGTAGGCTGGGAAACTGTCACCCTGGCTTCCTCGACTTTCCCGGCTGTGAAATGAGGGGCAAGCACAGTGGGTGTAATGCGTGCTGAGACAGTGGCTTTGAACTCAGGGCCTGGGCGCTCTCCCTGAGCTATTTTTTTCTCCGCTCCAGGCTGGCGCTCTGCCACTTGAACCACAGGTCCATGTTCAGCTGGGGTTTTTTTGTTTTTTTTTTGGTTGTTGTTGTTGATGGTTCATTAGAGAGAAGAGTCGCATGGATTGGGCTTCCCTGGGGGCTGGCCTCTAACCGCGATCCTCAGATCTCAGCCTCCCGGGCAGCTGGGATTACAGGCGTGAGTCGGAGGAGGCCCAGACTCCGGGAGCAGCACAGGCGGAGGGGACAAGGGCAAGCCAGGGTCATGCTGTCCCCAGCCCCAGGGCTCCGGTTCCCCCACCACTGTGACCCCAGACCCTCGGGTCTCCCCGAACCCCTGGTGTGCCGGGCTGATGGCTGGGGCCGTCCATTTCATAGATGGCAAGACTGAGACTCAGTGGAGGAAAACACCAACCTGCCCCTGGTGAAGGGCGACCCGCAGGCAGCCAGGCAACCTGCAAAGGGATGGCGGGTACCCGTGGGACACTTCTGGGAAGGAGCAGGGCAGTGGGCAGCCATTACCACTGGCGGGGGGGCATCATAGTGCCGGCATCCAGACCCCGGGGGGCTGGTGGAGAGTGGGGGCCGGGAACCGTCAGGACAGGAAGGGACGGGCCCTTCCAGAGCCACAAACGCAAGCGTGGACTTCCTGCTCTCACCCCGGGCTCCCGCTGGACAGACGGAGTTTAATTGAGCATCTACTATTGGCTCCGACGCCTTAGTCCTGGGGCTCTGCAGGCTCTCTGAGGCTCCGTTTGGCTCAGAGGAGGCCACTCGCAAGGGCCCGGGAGGAGCTTGTGCCTGAGGGAGGGGGTCTGTGCACCCCACTGTCCCCCCTTCTCACACACTTCTCTGGGGGGGGCCAGAAACCCCCAGGTGTCAGCCCCCCCCCCCCCCCCGGGCTGGTTCCAGGCGAATGGGACTTTACAGAACAGCTCAGATGAGCGCTCTGAGTCAATGTGAAACGCTGAGCCCTGGGCAGGACCTCGTGAGCCCCGACACGCACCCAGGGCCACCTGCTCCCCAGATCCAGCCCTCCCTGCAGACCCTCCCTGGGGACCCGATACCCAGCTTGTCTCCAGCAAGGACCGCAAAACCACCAGTGTGCGTCTCACGGGGGCCTGCTCCTTCCCCGCTGTGTGACCAAGATAAAGCTCCTGACCTCTCTGGGCCTCTGTGTTTCATTTTTGTCAGTCCTGGGGCTTGAACTCGGGGCCAGGGCACGGTCCCTTGAGCTCTTCAGCCCAAGCTGAGTGCTCTACCCCTTTGAGCCACAGCGCCACTTCCGGTTTTCTGGTGGTTCATTGGTGATGAGAGTCTCACGAATTTTCCTGCCCTGACTGGTTTTGAACCCCGATCCTCAGATCTGAGCCTCTTGAGGAGCTGGGATGGCAGGCGTGAGCTGCTGGTGCCTGGCTTGGGGTGGAGCCGGGGCTGGGCTTGCGCACTGTGCCCACGGTGTCCGCCCAGCCTCCCCTCCCCTGGCGACCCGCACAGGCCAGGAGGGGGGGGGACTGCTGGGAACGGAGCCAGCTTGACCCTGGCTCCCAGCCTCATGGGCTCCCACAGCCATGATCCAGAGTCTGCAGGGAAGGGCAGCGACCGGAGCTGCAGGAGGGTGCTGGAGGGAGGGCTGCGGGTGTGTAGACTTGCTGTCCCACTGTGGGGGCCTGGGCAGACAAATAAGCTCAGTTTGCACCTGCTAAGCTGCACCCCAGGTCCTCGGGCCCTGCCTAACCCGCCCCGTGCCTGCCCAGCACTAGGGGACCCTGCTGAAGGCAGCCTCCATGGCCGGGCCTCCGGCCTCTGCCTCCCCATCCCAGAGCCACGGAGGCTGGGCTGGGCCCCTCCGGGTCAGCGAGGCTCAGGCTGTTTCCCCCACCACCACCTCCACTCGGGGGTCCTGGCTGTGAGGAAGGGGTCAGCAACGGGGAACAGGCCCCTCTGATCTGAAAGTCCCCCGTCAATCAGGCTGGGTGCTGAGGGGGCCAGAGGGGGGGGGCAGAGCGGGGGGCGGAGACTTCCTGGAGACGGAGCGTGACTGACAGGCCGGGCCTCCGCCCTGTGGCCCCTCCCTCCCTCCCTCCCTCCCTCCCTCCCTCCCTCCGAGCTCACTTACTTATTCACTCATTTTTTGTTCATTCATTCATTCACTCATTCTTTCATTCATTCATTACTACTCATTCACTTATTCATTCATTCATTCACTCCTTCATTGCCCACTTACTCACTCACTCATTCATTACCACTCATTTATTCATGTACATACACATTCATTCACTCATTCACTTATTCATTTACCCATTCATTCTCTCACTCATTTACTTATTCATTTTCTTACTTGTTCACTCATTCATTTACTCACTCATCTAGTCATTCATTCATTCACTCACTCATTCGTTCATTCATTCATTCATTCACTCATTCATTCATTTACTCATTCATCTAGTCATTCATTCATTCACTCATTCATTCACTCATTCATTTACTCACTCATCTAGTCATCCACTCACTCATTCATTCATTCACTCATTCATTCATTCATTCATTTACTCATTCATCTAGTCATTCATTCATTCACTCATTCGTTCATTCATTCATTCACTCATTCATCTAGTCATTCATTCATTCACTCACTCATTCACTCACTCATTCATTCATTCATTTACTCATTCATCTAGTCATTCATTCATTCACTCACTCATTCGTTCATTAATTCATTCACTCATTCATCTAGCCATTCATTCATTCACTCACTCATTCGTTCATTCACTCATTCATTCATTTACTCATTCATCTAGTCATTCATTCATTCACTCACTCATTCGTTCATTCATTCATTCATTCACTCATTCATTTACTCACTCATCTAGTCATCCACTCACTCATTCATTCATTCACTTACTCATTCGTTCATTCATTCATTCACTCACTCACTCATTCACTCAGGCGTTTACTTGCTCATTGGCCCTCACTCATATTCATTCATTCCCTCATTCCCTCACTCATTCATTTGTTCACCCATTCGTTGATTCACCCGCTTATTCATCTCCTTGTTCATTCACTTACGCACTTACTCATCACTCGCTCATTCCTCGCTCTCCTTTAGTGACGTGTTAGACACACGGCGCGCTCTGGCTGTGGTTCTGTGCTGCAGTAACAGCGCGGCTGAACAAAGCAGGAAGCCGGGACAGAGACAGGGGACGCACGCAGAGCCGCCCTCGGGGTGCAGATGCTGTGGGGGAGAGGAAGGAGGGAGCTGGCCCGGAGGACCACAGAGGAGACCACCCCAGCATCCTTGAGAGCAAAGCACGGAGGCTGGGCTGATGGGAATGTAAAGCAGCCGAGGAAAGGGCACTGCAGACAGACAGCGGGAATGTGCAAAAGTCCTGTGGCAGGGAAAGAGATGGAGCATGGATCTTTGTTCTCTCCAACCACATAAGTGCACTGTGTAGAAGAAAGAAGAAAAGAGACCCGGGTGTAGGCTCGGGGGTCCCCAGCCCGCCTGGGCCTTCATCCTTGAGGTCATCTTCACAAGCCAGCAGTGGGGAGACGCTTGGCACTCGTTTACTCGCGGGCATGACCGTGTGCTTTGCTCCTGGGGGCTCAGCGCCACGCAGTCCCCGGCCCGCGGAGGCTTGCTTGGCATGTGGAGGGCGGAGGGGCGGCTGACTCAGGCTCTCCGGAGAGGTCAGACGTTGACAGACAGAGGTTGACATTTGAGTTGGGTTTTGAAGGCCAAGTAGGAGTCTGACAGGCCAGGCTGCGCGGAGAGAGTTGTGGTGGTGGAAGGCAGGGGAGCAGGTGTGGGGGGAGCTGCAAGCAGCCCACATGCCTGCACCCCACGGACAGACTGGGCTCTCACAGGCCCGTGGGGATGGGGGGGGGGGTCCCTGGCCGCAGTTGGGAGGAGCAGGAGGAACCAGAGCCCTGGCCAGGCGCGGGGTTCCCTTTTGGGAAGTCCCAAAATCTTGACAGTTCTCCTGCTGACGACCCCACCGAGAGGGGATGTTTTGCTCTTACTGTGCCCTGACCTTTCACTTTCGACCCCACGGGGTCACCGGGGAAGGGGGCGGGGTAGACACTCCCCAACGTCCAACACTCCCCCCCCCCCCCCCCCCCCCCCCCGCCTTGCCCAGGCTTGGAGGGGGAGCGCTGCAGGGGAACCAACGGCCAAGAGCTGTGTGTGTGTGTGTGTGTGTGTGTGCGTGTGTGTGTGTGTGCACACGCGTGTGAGGGGCCCGTGTGACCCCGGCCGGCGCCCAGGCCCCACGGTGTCCCTCCTCCTTGGGGTCCGGGTGTTTCTCTTCCCTGCGTGGGCATGGGCCCCCCCCGGGGCTTGAACTTGGGGCCTGAGCGCCGTCTCTGAGCCTCGGTGCGGGTAGCGTAGCCCTGGCTGCCCTTCCCTGATCCCGCATCCCCCCCCCAACGCAGGGGTGATCACATCTTGGGGGGGTCTGATTTTGTGGGGGGTTCACCTCCCCTCTCCCCCTCCCCCCCAGCTCTTGCCAGATTCAGGATGACAGCAAGTCTGCCAGGGAGGCCGGGAGGGAGGAGATCCTCAGGAGGAGGCCAGCCAGCTCATCGTCTCCCTCTCCCCCCCTCTCCCCCCTCCCCTTCCTCCCCCCCTCCCCCTCCCTGCTCCCTCAGGTCTGGACACAGCATGCCTCTGGGCCGGGCCGCCCTCCTGCTCCTGCTGATGCTGCAGACTGGTAAGTAACTACCCCCCCCAAGCCAAGCCAGGCCATGCAAGCTGATCCTATAGCTCGCGCCCAGCAGACACGGGGACAGGTCAGCGCAGGACTTCCCTCGGTCTCCTGTGATCCTGCTCATGGGCTGGGGGGGGGGGCAGTGAGGAAGTTCTGCCTTTGGTCTAACCTCTCTTCCTCCTCCTATCCCGGCTTTCCTGGAGAATCCTTTCTCTGCAGCCACTGGGCCCTGTGGGGGGGGGGGTCCCCCACCCACAGGCGCGGCCAGGAGGCCTTCCCACAGCGGGGCACCCACGCTGCACAAGGGGGAACCCGTGGCTCTGCCCACTGACTCAGCGCCCGCTCTGGATTTCACCAAGAGACCCAGAGCCTCAAACGGGTCCCTCGGGAAGCAAGCTGGGCTGCCACCTTTCCCTTTCAGGAAGCCGGGGGGGGGGGGGGCAGGGCTCTCCCACATCCCTCCCCACCCTCCCCCATCCCCGGCCTTCAAGGCAGGGACATCGCCCCGCATGGATCCTAGCCACTCAGAGACTGAGATCTGGAGGATCGCAGTCCAACAGAGCAGCCTGGGCAGAACACGCTGCAAAGACTCTGATCTCCAATTAACCAGCCAAGAGCCAGGCTGGAGGCATGGGTCAGGGGGTAGAGCACCAAGCGCAAGGCCTTGGGTTCGAATCATGATACTGGGAGGAAGAGGAGGAGAAGGGGGAGGAAGAGGAGGCAGGCAGAAGAAGAGGAAGAGGAAGAAGAAGGAGGAGGAGAAGAGGAGAAGGGGAAGAAGAAGGAGGAGGAGGAGGGGAGGAGGAGGTGGAGGAGGAAGAGGAGGAGGAGGAGGAGAAGGAGGAGGAGGAGGAGGAGGAGGAGGAGGAGGAGGAGGAGGAGGAGGAGGAGGAGGAGGAGGAGGAGGAGGAGGAGGAGGAGGAGGAGGAGGAGGAGGAGGAGGAGGAGGAGGAGGAGAAGAAGAAGAAGAAGAAGAAGAAGAAGAAGAAGAAGAAGAAGAAGAAGAAGAAGAAGAAGAGAAGAAGGAGAAGGAGAAGTTGCCTTTGGAGACGGGCTCTGCCCCTTGGCCTTGGGCCTGGTGAGGAGCCCCCCAGGAGGAAGTCCCTCCTAGAGCCGACTCACACCCAGCCATACAAGCTGCCAGGCGCTGCGTGGAGGAGTCCATGATGGCACCGGGGAGAGAGTGCTGCCATTGATTAGTAATGTCTGCCACGGCCCCATGAATCTGGGCATTTCCCGCAGAGCAGTGGTCTGTAGCGCCCGTCCGGAGGCCTCATGTGGGGGGGGGGAGGGCTGAGAAGCCAGGTTAGGTCTCAGGGTGACACTCAGGAAGCCACAGCACCAGCCATCTCTGTGGTCATCCTTCAGCGAAACTGAAGCCAAAGCCACCAAAAACGAATCCAGTGGAGGAGAAAAAGGGAACAGGTTTCTAGTAAAGGGCAGGAGGGCTCCACACGTGATCCCGACTGAGGGGGACTGGAAGTGCTGGGGGGGGGAGCGGCTGGTCAGGGTCATGCAGACCTGCAGTCAGACTCCTGCAGGACTGGCCTTGGACCTCTCCCCGCTCTAGCCCCGCCTCCCCCATCCTCAGCAAGGCTCTTGGTGGGGACCCCTCCTGGGTGGGTCCGGCTGGTGTGATCCCTCCTGTCTCTGGGGACTCAGGACTGGGGTGTCCCAAAGGAGATACGCTCAGGGTCCTGGGGGTGGGGTACTTGTGAGGAGATGGCTTGGTCACTTTGGTTCACAGTAGGAATGACCCCAGGACATTTGCACAAGCAAAGTCTAGGTGACCATGGGGCTGGGAAGGTGGCTCAGTGGTAGAGCGCTTGCCTTGTATGCATGAGGCCCTGGGTTCGAATCCTCAGCACCACATGAGCAAAAAGAAAAAAAGCCGGAAGTGGCGCTGTGGCTCAAGTGGTAGAGTGCTAGCCTTGAGCTGAAGAGCTGAAGGACAGCGCCCAGGCCCAGAGTTCAGGCCCCACGACTGGACCCAAAAAAAAAAAAAAAAAAAGTCTAGGTGACCAGAATTCCCAAGCCAAGCCAGGCGCCGGTGGCTCAGGCCTGTCATCCTAGCTACTCAGAAGGCTGAGATCTGAGGATCGAGGTTCAAAGCCAGCCTGGGCAGGAAAGTCCGTGAGACTCTTATCTCCAAAGAACCACTGGAAAACCGGAAGTGGCGCTGTGGCTCCAGTGGTAGAGCACTGGCCTTGAGCTGAAGAGCTCAGGAACAGCGCCCAGGCCCTGAGTTCAAGCCCCAGGACCGACTAAAATCAACAAGAATCCCTGAGCCCTGAGCCTCTGTCTTAAAGGGCCCCAGATGCACAGCAGCCCTGGGAGCCCCCCCCCACCAGAGCCTTTCTGCCCCCCCCCCCCAGGCTGGGGCTGCTCGGATCTCTCCTGCTATACCGACTACCTGGAGACCATCACCTGTGTCTTGGAGACGTGGACGCCCCACCCCCACCCCCTCACCCTCACCTGGTAGGTGGCCAGGGACCCCCCACCTCCCACCCCACCTTAGGGGTCTGGGGGGACCGGGGAGGGGCTGAGCTGAGCCTACTGTGCGCTCAGAGGGGAGTTCAGTAAGATAAGCAGCACAGTGACTGCGTCTTGAGCTACTAAGGGCACCAAAGGCTCCTGCCTGCCGTTCCGGCCACTCAGGAGGCTGAGATGCGAGGATCGCGGTTTGAGGCCAGCCCTGGCAGGAAAGTCCATGAGACTTTTTTGGCCAGTCCCGGGGTTTGAACTCTAGGCCTGGATGCTGCCTGAGCTCCCGCTCAAGGCGAGCGCGCTACCACTTAAGCCTCAGCGCCACTTCCGGCTTTCCAGGTAATTAATTGGAGATAAGAGTCTCATGGACTTTCTTACCCAGGCTGGCTTTGAACCGTGATCCTCAGATCTCAGCCTCCTGAGCAGCTAGGATGACAGGCGTGAGCCACCAGCCCCGGGCTCAGGAGACTCTGATCTCCAATTAACCACCAGGAAACCTGAAGTGGAGCTCAAAGTGGTAGCGCGCTAGCCTGGAGCAAAAGAGCTCAGAGACAGCATCCGGGTCCTGAGTTCAAGCCCAGGACTGGCAAAAGAAGGAAAGAAACGGAGCTGGAAGGTTTGAGGGGCGCAGCAGAGGGGGTCTTCAAGTCCCAGGCTTTGGCCAGAGCAGGGCCTCTCCGGGCAGCCTGTGGTCAACCTGGAGGCCGGAAGTGTATTCACTCAGCAGACATTTGCTCCCCCCACCCCACTTGTCTGTGCTGGTCCTGGAGCTTGAACTCCAGGCCTGGATGCTGTCCCTGAGTTTTTCCACTCAAAGCGAGTTGCTCTACCAATTGTATCACAGCTCCATTTTTGTGCTGGCCTCAAACTGCCATCCTCAGATCTTAGCCTCCTAAGTAGCTAAGATTCCAGCCACGGGTGCTGGGCCACACGTAGCAATGTCCATTCCAGTAAATGGGGCAGAGAGAGGAGTCCCATCCACCCATCTACCCTGGTCCTGCAGGATGGCGTGGAGGCAGGGTAGTGACTATGTGGTGAACTCCTACAGATACCTCAAAGTCCCCAGAGCGTTTGTCCCCCAACCCCATCCCACCAGCTTCCCCGGAAGCTCCCTGCGGGGGAGGGGGTGCTGGCCCAGGAAAGGGAGGCTGGCGCCCAGGCCTCCCCCACCCGGCCTCTAGCAGTGACCATCGCTCCCTCCTCAAGGCTAGACCCGTATGGAGAACTGGAGGACAAAGTCACCTCCTGCAGCCTCCGCAGGACCAGCCGCAACGCCACGCACGCGCAGTACACCTGCCGCATGAACGTCTCCCAGTTCATGGCCGACGACATCTTTAGTGTCAACGCGACCGACCAGTCCGGCAGCTCCCAGGAGTGCGGCAGCTTTGTGCTGGCCTACAGCAGTGAGCACCCCGTACCCCCCAGGCCCCCCAGGCCCGGCCCGGGCCTGGCTCTTCTGCTTTGAGATGCGCTAGCTCTTCCTCAAGTGTGAAGGGCTGCTCTTGGGAGAGGGGCGGGGCGGGGAGGCGGGGCTGGGCGGGGCGTGAAGAGCGGAGGGCGGGGATTGGGCGCCCACGGTGGGCGGGGCTGACGTCGCTGCGTGGGGGCGCCCGGGGGCGGGGCTGCCCGGCCACCGGCCTCTGTCCCCGCAGTCAAGCCCGCCCCCCCGTACCACGTGACGGCGGCCGCGGCCCCCTCGGGGCTCCGCAACGTCAGCTGGCGCTCGGACTACGACGACGGCGCGGCCTACCACCCGCTGCGGCACCGCCTGCAGTACCAGCTGCAGCTCCGCGAGCGCGAGGGCGCCGGGGCCCGGGTGAGGGGCCCCCTCCCACAGTCACCACGCGGGAAGTTTCTGGAACTTTCCCCTCGCTCAGGACAGGCCTGGTTGGGAGTTCCGGGTGCAGGGGGTGGGGCGTGGCTCAGGCGGTGGGGGCGTGGCTCCCTGTGGGGGGCGTGGTCCCGCGGGTGGGCGTGCCTTGGGTTGTAATAGGGGTTGGTCCGAGGGGTATTGGGCGTGGTTCACGCGGTGGGGGCGTGGCTCCCTGTGGGGGGCGTGGTCCCGCGGGTGGGCGTGTCTTGGGTTGTAATAGGAGTTGGTCCGAGGGGTATTGGGCGTGGCTCAGGCGGTGGGGGCGGGGCACGGGTGTCGGTGGGCGGGGCTCGCAAGGAAGGGCGTGGCCCAAATGGTCATGGGCGAGGTTCACTGTTGTAGGGGCGTGGCACAGGTGTCGGTGGGCGTGGCCCAGCGGTAGGGGGCGTGGTGTCGGTGGTTGTGTCCTACATGGCGGGGGTGGGGCTCAAGCACTGGGGGCGTGGCTTACGAGGTAGTGGGCGTGGCTCCCGTGTCTGCCGTGAACCCGAGTTCAAATCCCGGGACCTCCAGGCAAAATACCAGAAAAGTAATCATAGGTCCGGGGTTATTTCAACCCGTGGAGGCGAAGGAGCCGTGTCCCCTGGGTGCGGGTCCAGGGCTGGAAGGTTCCAGCATGCCCCACGGTGTGGAAGGCCCAACCGAAGGCCTTCCCAGGCAGGGGAGACTCAGAGGTCACCCTGGCTAAGTGTCCCCCGGAGGGCAGAGGTGGCAGCCCCAGCCCGAGGGAGCCCGGGATGGCGGCGGGGAGGCGGCGGAGGGGCCCGCCGGCCGCCCCTGACGGCGCCCTCGGCCCGCAGCGCGCCGTGACGGCGCTGGTCTCCGTGGACGCCCGCAGCGCGTCGCTCCCCCCGGGGCGGCTCCGCGGAGGCCGGCGCTACGAGCTGCGCGTGCGCGCCGCCGCCCAGCCCGGCCTCTTCCAGGGCACGTGGAGCGAGTGGAGTGAGCCGGTCACCTTCCAGGTCCCGCCCGGGGGTAGGTGTGAGGCCGGGGAGGGGGGCCCCGCTTCCAGCCCCCGGAGCTCCCCCGGGCCCGAAGCTCCGGGCCTGGCGCACAGGGTGGACAGGATGTAAGCAGGGAGACAGGGAGGAGGCGGCGTGTCCACCTCCCCTCCAATGACCTCGCCTCCTCCCGCCAAGCCCCGCCTCCTCCCAGAGAGTCCACCAATAGCGTCAGACCAAGGCCTCAGCGCTGGGGCCTAGCAGGGTCTGACCCGTCTCCCGGCCCCATGGAGGCCCTGACTGCCCCCCCCCACCCTCCCTGCCCACCCCGAGGCCCCGGGAGAGGCTGCCACCACCACCGCACCCATTCTTTGTGTCCTGGCAGGGCCTGAGGCAAACTGGGAACTTCTGCTGCTGCTGCTTCTAGCGGTCTTGGCCACTGGCCTCGTCTTCCTGGGCCTGAAGACCCGTCTGCCCTGGAGGTAAGGCTGGGGCTCAGAGCCAAGGGGTCAGCATGGGTCGTGATGGCAAAGGAACTCGATCCATCTCCATGCCTCCCCCCCCCTTACATTCCACACACCCCAGACACAGAGTGGTCAGGGAACTTCCCCGGAGTCACACAGCGCCGAGATGCAACTGAGACCTCGTGTTCTTTCCACCGATCCCGTCAGCTAGGACTTTGTCCAGTGGGGGTGCATGGGGGTGATGCGATCGGCCCCTTCCTGTACCTCTTGCGCTAATCAGAGGGTTGGCTCGCGTCCGTTTCATGTGGGGGGGTTCCTTGCCATTGAAAGGGTGCTAATTAGAAATACGGGGCGCCCACCCACCATTCCTTCTGATCCTCTCCACCAACGCCAAGGCAGACAGGGCAGAGAGCTTGAGGTGCTCAGGTAGAGTCTCTGCAGGTACGGGTGCTGGGTGCTGAGTCCTCCCTCTGCCCCCCCCATCCCCACATAACGCTCCCCAGCGAATTGAGCCAGCTCTGCCCAGCCCTCCTGTACTGGAGGAAACTGAGGCTCAGAAGGGGCAGCGTTGGCCCAGAGTTCCGCAGGACCCCATGATGAGGAGGGAGACACGCGGCTCCCATTTAACAGATGTGGAAACTGAGGCCCAAGGTGGGAGAGGGGGGATCTGGGCCGCATCGAGTGTCCCTCGGGACAAAGGTGGGAGGTGCCAGGCCGCCCAGCAGCTGTGAAGGGGCGCGGGAGGGGCAGAGGCTCGCCTGACCTCTGCCCTCTGTCCCCTCAGGTTGTGGAAGAGGCTGTGGGCACCAGTGCCCAGCCCTAAGTACTTCTTCGGGCCTCTGTATGACAGCCACAGCGGGGACTTCAAGGTGAGCTCGTAATACCCCGAGCAGCCCTCGGTGCCTCTCTGGTCCTCTTGGGGAGCCCTGCCCCTCCTCACCCCAAAGTTCCAGCCCCGCTCTGAGAGCCCCAACCCAGCCTCAGTTTCCCCAGGTTCAGAGAAAGTTGCCTGGGGGGGGGAGCTGGCCTCAGATTCGGTCAGACCCTGAGGGGTTTCCGGGGGAGAGGAGGGCTGGGATTCCTGGATGGGGGGGGCTGTACCCCCCCCCTGCCACCTGCCCGGCCTCCCCCAAGCGCACGAGGGGCCGGGATCTGCTCCACTCCCCACCTGCGGGGGGAGGGGGGCGCAGAGGATGTGGTGAGGGGGTGGGGCAGCACCCCGAGTTCTCAACAGAGCTTCTACGGCCTGCCTGCTACTTCTCACAGCTGCACAGGCGTCTACCCCCGCCCCCCCCCCCCCCCAGACACAGAGAGGGCAAGGAACTAACTCAAGGCCACACAGCTAAGGGATGAGCCGTGTCACACACACAGCCAAGAGTGTTCTGGAGTGGGCCCAGGGAGGGGAGGGACTGTCCCTGGGTGGCCTAGGTGGAACCCCAGGTGAGGGAAGGGGCGGGGAAGAATGCAGCTCAGTGGATTTCTCAGCTCTCTCAGTTCACACAGGTTAATTGTGCACTTACTGTGTGCGAGGCTCTGAGGGTGTCTGGGCCCCAGCCAGCAGGCTTGCGCTGGGGCGGGGTCTGGGCATTGACCCTAAGCTTTTCACTCAAGACTAGGGCCCTTCCATTCCAGCTTTCTGATGGCTCGCTGGAGACTAGAGTCTCCCAGACTTTCCCGCCCAGGCTGGCTTCGAACCGCCCTCCTCAGATCTCGTGGGGATGACAGCTCAGCTCTGTCTCGCTGTCTCTGCTCATCCATGACTCTGCCTTGGTTTCTCCCTCGCAGAAATGGGTGGGGGCCTCCTTCACGGCCTCCAGCCTGGAGCTGGGGTCGGGGAGTCTGGTCCCCTCGGCGCTGCAGCTTCAGTGCACGGGCCCAGCCCAGAGTCCGCCCAAGATGCCGCCGCCGCCGGGGCCGGCTGAGCCGCTGGAGTGCGACGGGGCCCCGGAGGGGGGCGTGGCCGGCGAGGAGGGGGAGCGGCCCTACGGCCTGGTGTCCATCGACACGGTGATGGTGATGGACGCAGATGGCCCGCATGCCTGGCCCTGCAGAGATGACGGCTATCCGGCCTTGAACCTGGACATGGGGCTGGGCCCGTCGGAGCTGCTCTTGGGTGCAGTGGCCACGTCCCTCCCCTGTGGCTGCGTCTCCACGCGTGGCCCCAGGCTGGGCGGGCTGAGGATGCCCCTGGGTGAGGGGGGCTGGGCCGCGGGGCCGCCCTGGCCCTCCGACAGCGAGGTGGACTCCCCCCCGGCCGGCCTGGACATGGACACATTTGACAGCGGCTTTGCGGGCTCGGACTGCGGCAGCCCCGTGGAGAGTGACTTTGTGGGTGTCCGGGAGGAGGGCCCCCCCAGAAGCTACATCCGCCAGTGGGTGATCGTGGGGTCCCCCCCTGCGGGCAGGGACCCCAGGCCACCTAGCCAGGATGGCTGCCCTCAAGAGCTGGCCAGTTCATCAGGCCAGAGCTGGTGTATGCATGTTTGAGCAGAGGCCCCAGGACCTTTGCATGTGCCGGAGGCTGGGACAGACCATGGCCCACAAGGCTGATGCCGAGCCCAGGTCCTTAAGTTCTGCCCCAGGGGTTCCTGTCCCTGCTCGTCAGGAAAGGGTGGAGCAGAGGAAGCCACAGTGGCCAGGAGCTGGGACAAGTTAGGGGACCCAGGGACACAGGTCTGATACCAGCCCGGAGGCCTTCTGGACTAAGTCCTTCACCTTCCGGTGCTGTCATTTCTTTGGATATGGGGGCGTCATAGCCAGCTCTGAAGAACTCGGGGAGCCCCCCACCCCCACCCCCTGCACAGTCCATGGCCCCCAGCTGGCCCTCCGGGGCGCATCAGCTTCCTGTCTGAGGTCTGCGGAGAGCAGGTGCAGATGGGCAGGGGGAGGAAGCCACCCACGCGGGCAGCGGGGCACCTGTGAGGGGCTCTGGGGGTTCCCCTCAGTCACTCGGCCTTGTCCCCCAGAGGCCCCCACGGCCCTGCCGGGGGCCTTTCCTGGCTTCTCAGCCAGGCAGGGGGCTGGGGGGGGGGGGAGCTGCCCACACAGGAGCGGGGACACTGAGGCAGGCAGGGATGCTGAGGGGTGCCACAGGCCATCTGCACATGACCCAGCCCTCCCCCCGTCCTTAGCGCATGGGTGGGGAGGGCGGGTGTCCCACGGGAGGCGCCGGGAGGCGCCCGTGGGGCAGATGCTGTCATATGGCCTCTCGTGCCAGGGCTGGGGCTTGAACTCGGGGCCTCACACACTTGTCTGTCCTCTCCTCAAGGCCAGCACTCTACTAGGGCCGCTTCTGGCTGTTCATTGGAGGTTTAGAGTCTCAGTGCTGGGATTACAGGCGTGAGCCGCCATTGCCAGACTTATTTTTTCCCCTAGAGGCCCCGCCTCAGGCACAGTTTGGCCCTGGGTTGTGTGGGGGGGGGGACCCACCTGGGGCCCTAAAGGGAGTACCCTGGCTGCCCCTGGAAAGTGGGGGGTACTGGAGACCCCCCCCGGAGGGAAAGTTCTAGAACACTGGTGTTTTCACAGTGGGGCTGAGGCAGAGGCATGTGTGGGAAGCTGCAGGCCGCAGCCCCCTCCCCCTCCCATGCACGCAGGTGCGCTGCGGCCCCCCCCCCCCAGCACGGGCTCCCTGGGGAGCCCGTGTCTCCGCAGCACCCAGCGCGGGCTCGGCGTGGACAGGAGGCCGGGGCAGGGCGCGGCCGGGGCGCAGACGGCGGCGGCGGAGGAGGGGAGGGACAGGGCCTGTGTCTGCTTGGCCTGGGATCTGGCGCATAGTAGGACCTCAATAAAGCCTAGTTTGTAGCGGTGGTGCTCGCTGGCTGTGTGTTCCTCCCAAGGTGAGCCTCAAGCTGCCAGGTCCACGGTGGGGGGTGCACGCACACCAGCCCCTTCCCAGCAGCCCCGCGTTGGCCGCACCCCGATTCCCAAACGCAGCGCCCTGGGGTGTTCCTCTGTGGTGAGGTCCCCACCGTCCCAGCAGGGCTGCTGAGCCCAGAAGCCAGGCTCACCCCCCCACACCGGGCACAGGGCGCTCGGGCCACGGCTGCCCCCCCGCTGCCCAGCACGGGAGCTGCAGGGCCGGCGGGCGCCCCGGCCTCTGGGCTCTGGCTGTCCAGCAGGCAGGGGCCTCCCATCGTGGGCAGGGAGGCGGGGGACACTGGGAGCACCCACTACGCGGGGCAGGTCACACGCACGCACGCATATACACACATATATATATACACACACGCACGCATGCGCAGGCACAGTGGATCTGGGCCCCTGAGTCACATGGAGGCTTGGGAAGACAACAAGATCTGGAGCAGCCTTGGAGGACGGGACCAGGCGCCTGCGGACGGCACTGCCCCCGTGAGGGGAGGCAAGCCAGGAAGACTCTGCCAGGCTCCCAGGGGCCGAGCCCGTGGGCGAGGCGGAAGGATGCAGGAGCCTGGCTTCTGAGGCGCTGAGCCGGCTGGAGGGCCGTGGAGGGCTCATTGCAATGCTATCTCAGCCGGGCGCCGGTGGCTCACGCCTGTAATCCCAGCTACTCAGGAGGCTGAGATCGGAGATCAAATGAGGACTGAGGCCAGCCTGGGCAGGAAAGGCCGAGACTCCTGTCTCCAATGAACCACTCAAAACCAAAAGTGGAGCTGTGGGTCGAGTGGCAGAGCGCCAGCCTTGAGTGAAAAAGCTAAGGGACAGCGCCCAGGCCCTGAGTTCAAACTCCACACGCGTGTGTGCTCACATGGACACACACACAGAACAAGACCCGTGGGCAGGAGGCAGGGGTGCTGGTGGGGATCCCCTACACCATACTAGGCGGGAGGGGGGGAACTCTGCCCAGCACTTCTGGGCGTCCTACAGAGCGCAAGTCCCCTGTTACCAGAACTTTCCATTTTTCAAAAGATAGGATTCGGATTGCTTTTTCAAGATGTAAAAACTCTACATTTTTAACATGTTGGGAATGAACTAAAAATTTAAACATGAACTGACGAGAACTGCAGGAGAGCCAGGCGGCGGCAGGCCCGGCCGGTGGGGCCCCTGGGGGCCCGGGGGCACCTGTGCTGTGACGCGGTCACCAGCCATGCGGGTGCCCTGGCCACCCGCGGGCGCCCACGATGGCTCAGGAAATACACTACGTGTCTCTGACTCCGCTTGAATTAAAAATAAATACAAACATGCTAGGGGACCGATCTCTAAACAAGGAAAAGAACACACTAAACCAAATGAGCCCCCGGCCGCAGAGCTCCCTTCTGGGCGCGGGTAGGGGGAAGCTGCCCCGCGTGGGCCGGGGTGGGGGTCCCGGGCCCCGTCACTCGTCCCCAGGGGGCCCCTCCTTTGGTGGCACGCGGAGTCTCTGTGCGCTGGGCACACTACACAGCCCCGCGGGGTCGGTGAGGGGTCGGTGGCAGGGGGCGGCCACCCCCCGATGGGTCAGGGACACCCCTCTGCGGAGGGAGGAGGGGTCCCAGGCCACCCGAGCCCGGGGGTCCGGTGCCCCGCGCGCCCCATTCCGGGGCCTTCTGGAGTTTCTAAAAGTGGCTCCACTTGTTCCAGTTGACGTCGCGGGGGAACACGCGGCCCAGCCGGATGGTGCAGTCCAGCGTGGGCTCGTAGAAGGCCGCGCCGTCCCCGGGCCCGGGCGCCTCCTCCACCTGCTCCCCGACGGGCCTCGAGAAGAGCGACACGGCCGCCGCCGGCTTGCGCAGCACCCGTCTCCGTATGCAGCCCAGGGACTCGAGGCTCTGCGGGGGAGGATGCGTGAGCGAGCCCCCGGACCCAGCCAGCGCGGCAGAACCCCCCAGCCGGCCCGGCTGCCCCCCCAGCCAGCCCGGCTGCCCCCCCAGCCAGCCCGGCAGCCCCCCCCAGCCGGCCCGGCAGCCCCCCCCCCAGCCGGCCCGGCAGCCCCCCCCAGCCGGCCCGGCTGCCCCCCCCCAGCTGGCCCGGCTGCCCCCCCCAGCCGGCCCGGCAGCCCCCCCCAGCCGGCCCGGCAGCCCCCCCCCCCAGCCGGCCCCGCAGCCCCCCCCCCCAGCCGGCCCGGCTCCCCCCCCAGCCGGCCCCGCAGCCCCCCCCAGCCGGCCCGGCAGCCCCCCCAGCCAGCCCGGCAGCCCCCCTCCGTCCCCCCCCCCCGCCCCCGGCCCCGCCCCCCCCCGCCCACCTGGAGCAGCTCCAGCACGGCCACGGGCTGCAGCACGCCCTCGTCGTCCCCCCGCCCCCCCTTGCCCCCCCCCCCCGCCCACCTGGAGCAGCTCCAGCACGGCCACGGGCTGCAGCACGCCCTCGTAGTACTCCATCAGGCCGCTCTCGGGGACGCCGGGCCGGCTCATGATGTGGTACAGCATGGCCTCCATCATGCCCTTGCACACCGGCACGTTCAGGTGGCCGTCCACGCTGCGCCACGGGCGGCTGACGAAGCAGATGTTCTCGTGCCTTCTGCGGGACAGGGGCCGGCCGGCCGGGAGCGTGCGCTCAGCCGCAGGCAGGGCTTGGGGGTGGGGGCACCGCAGGGGTCAGGACGGAGGGGCCAAGAGGGAGCCCTGCGGCCTTGCTCGGCCCGCGGGCTGACGGAGGACCGGGTCCTGGTGACCGCCCCCCTCCGCCCACTGGGCGCACGCGCACCACCGCTGGACAGACAGAGCCGCCGCTGACATGCGGGCTCCGGGCAGGTGGCAGCTGCATCCGGAGCTGGTGGACTCTGAGCGCCCGGGAGCGGTGGGCGAGGGCGAGCCCTCCTGTGTGGGGGAACCCAGGGGCCCCTGAAGGAATCCCCACCTACCGTTCCTGTGCGGCCTGGGAGGCGCCCGCGGCCATGCAGCTCTTCGCGGGTCCTGGGGAGCAAGGGGACAGGGTGGAGAAGCGCGGCGGGCGGGCCGCTGCCGCCGGCTCTGCGGGACCAGAGCAGCGCCTGCCTCAGCGCGCCACTCAGGGCCAGGCGCCACTCAGGGCCAGGCGGGGCCACGCGGCGGGGGCGGGGCACGCAATGGGCGGGGCGGGGCCACTCAGGGCCAGGCAGGGCACGCAATGGGCGGGGGCGGGGCACGCAATGGGCAGGGGGCGGGGCCACGCAGCGGGGGCGGGGCTCCTGCCGCCCCGCCCTTTGTACCAGGGGAGCTCACAGAACCTCACTTGCCACCCAGAAGCCCGGCCCACAAGGCAGAGGTGAGCAGAGGCCGCAGGAAAGAAGTGGTAAGGCTGCGGGGGACCTAAGTGGCTCCTCAGACCAGGGAGCGTTAACGGGGGCCCCCCCACACCAGCCTGGGGGGGGCTGCAGAGGCTGGAGTGGCCGCCCCTGGCGGGGACACACTGCGGGGTTGTGGGCGTGGCCCGGGAGGCCTGGGGGCGGGGCCAGCGGGGCGTCCCGGTCGGTACCTCTGGGGCCTCCAGCATCCTCTGGAGGGTGGATCGGACAGCTCAGCGGCTCGGGGCCTGGGGCGCTGGGGGCGCTGGCAGCTTCTGGGCCCTCCTGCCCGGGGACCCCTGCCCTCGTGTTTTCAGGAGCCGAGGCCAGACGCACGTCCTGGAGCGTGGGCCTCTTGGCAGGGGGGCTCAGGGCGTCCTGGGCACAGGGGTCACCGCTCTGGCTGTCCAGATGGGCACGCCGCTTGCCACCTGGGGGGCTGTGCGCAGGGGCCGGGCTCTCGGGGGGCTGGGCCTGCTTCCTCGGCGTGGCTTGCTCCTCCTCGTCTCTGGGCCGCACCGAGTGCAGCAGCCAGGGGTCGGCGTGGGCCGCGGCCACCAGGCGCACCGTGTTCCCGCCCACCTCCAGCACCTGCTGCTGCTCCAGGAGCTCCTGGGGGAGAGCGGGACGCGGGGCCATCACTGGCGGGACCCCACGCGTCTCCACGTCTCCCCATGGTCCTCTCACGCCACCAAGTCGCTCTTAGAGGGACCTGACCCCAAGCACCAAGTCCCTCTCTGGATTTGGCACTGTCCTGTACCACAAGGGACGGGCACTCTCTCATGCTCAGCCACGCGCTTGTCCTGACCCTGTCCGGGGCAGACCTGGCGACCCCACGAGTCCAGCTCTGGCCTGGCCTGGCCTGGCAGTGGGGTCTGGGCTCTGCCACCATGGCTGTGGCTCTGTGTCACCTCCTGGCACTGAGAGGATAGCCTGGGACACACCATGCCCTCGGAGGCCACAGGTCTGTCCTGTCCCATAGGAAGGCCACGTGGATGCTGACCCCCAGCAGCTGTCGAACACAGCGCAGGGCGACAGGCCAGGGCACAAACGGTACACCATTCTTGGGGCTCAGGGTTCCTGGGCTGGAGGGAGCAGGTGAGTGAGGCACTGTGCAGGGGGCCGGCAGGGGTGAGGAGGGGAGGGCAGGGCAGCAGCTGGACTCAGCCAAGCTGATCGCAGGGGAAGCGGAGTGTGGGGAGAAGTCCTCGTTTCTCAACGTTGGCCACTTGACCTCCTCACCCTGCCGCGCCCGCCTGCAGCGCAGCCTACCTGGACGTAGTCTGGGAAGGTCTTGGTGCGCTGGCCGCCTGGCCTCTGCAAGGCTGCGAAGCTTCGGCTCAGCCTGTCCCTGTCCACCCCAAAGGCGCCCGCAGCGGCCACCGTGCTGCGGATCTCCAGGGCGGCGCACACGTCCTCGGAGCTGTACCCCGCCAGCGCCATCTGGTGGGCAAAGTCCTCCACGCTGGAGGCCTGCTCTGGGGGGCACGCCAGCCGGGTGAAGGTGTCCGGGAGGCAGGAGGTTCCGGTGGGGAGCTCTTCCAGAGGCGTGGCTGCAAGAATATTGATCAGGGGGATAACGGAGCCAGCCTGGGAAACCCTGCCTTCCAGACCGGCACACACACAACGCCGCCGGGTACATGGAACCCCTCCCTTTCTCCCCAGGCCAGCCCGGCTCCCTGCAGAGCACAGCCCCTTCCAGTACATTCTAGCTTCGGCCTCCGTGGGCTCCTGTGAAGCGCAACTCAGCTAGACCACAGGTCTAGAGATTCTGATTACATTTGTGCAGGGTCCAAACTGTGAATATAAGTGTAGGATTTTGTGTGTGTATGTGTGTTATTTTTTGTTTGCCAGTCCTGGGGCTTGAACTCAGGGCCTGGGCACTGTGCCTGAGCTTTATTTGCTCAAGGCTAGCGCTCTACCACTTGAGCCACAGCAGCACTTCCGGCTTTTCCTGTTTTATGTGGAATGGAACCCAGGGCTTCATGCATGCTAGGCAAGCACCCTACCACTAAGCCACATTCCCAGCCCCGGAATTTTCTTGTGTGACAGTCAGGGGCTTGAACGTGGAGCCTGGGCACTGTCCCTGAGCTTTTTGGATCAGGGCTAGTGCTCTACCACTTTGAGCCACAGCACCACTTCTGGTTTTCTGGTGGTTATTTGGAGATAAAGAGTCTCACAGACATTCCTGCCCAGGTTGGCTTTCAATTGCGATCCTCAGATCTCAGCCTCCTGAGTGGCTAGGATGACAGGCGTGAGCCACGGGCACCCGGCAAGCATAGAATTTTGACTATGACAACACATTGAGAGCAAACACTCTCAGCTTGGACCATACAGGCATGGAGGCCGGCCAGCCAGGGGCCCAGATGAGGAGGGGAAGGGGACAGGCCTCAAACTGAGCACAGGAAACAGAGGTTCAAGAACTTAGTGTTTCCAGAGCTGAGTGTGAAGGGAGAGGGGGGGAAGTCGCTTTTTTACCCGTCAACAAGGCGCCCAGGGCCCAGCGTCAGCAAAAGTAGGGAAGTGCCAAACGCAGGGTTCTGAGGTGACCTCCCAAGCTAGCAAAGAGGGGTTACCTGCAGGAAGTGGACAGCACTGACTGTCATCTGGGAAAGGCTCCCCGGGCGGCTGGGGGGGGGGGGGGGGGAACCGCGCACTGCGGGGCGGGGTCCCCATCTCTAGGTGGCTGCGTGTGGCTGGCTAGTAGCGGGGAAGTCGGGGGACACCCCAGCCGGAGGCGGTCACTCACCGAGAGGCCCGAGGCGGGCGGGCACCGGGGTGCTGCGGAGCCGCATCTTCACCTGGCACGAGTTGACCACCACGCTGTCGTTGGGGTTGAGGCTGCGCGTGCTGATGTTGCCGGGCGCGCAGTAGCCCCGCATCAGCAGGTACTTGGTGTGCGAGGCCTGCTGGGCCTTCACCTCCACGCCCTGGCGCTTGGTTCCCGAGCCTTCGTCCAAGTCTTCCTCCTCATCCTCGTCGTCATCCAAGCCCCCGTCCTTCGCCAGGCTGTGGCAGAGGAGCAGAGCTTGCTGGCTGGACGCAGGGGTGGCCCTGGGATTTCCCACGCAGCCAGCCGTGCTCCCCGCCGGGCCCGGCTTTCTAGGTCCTCTTCACGGGAGATGTCAGCAAGCCTGCCGGGGCAGCCTGGCTCCCCCAAATCCTGACAAGCTCCCCAAGGCCCCCAGCTCCTCCCACACAGACTGGGAGGCAAAACAGAACTCAGCACGCGTGTGTGGAATGAAGAAACACGAGCTGGCTGGGCAAAGGAGCCGAGCTAGGGGTGCCAGGCCCCATGGCCCGGACGCCGACCCAGTGGCCGCGCCGGGCCCCGGCTCACCTCTTCATGTCCTCACTCTCTGTGACAGAACTGTCCACCACTACGATCTGCTCTGGGATCCGGACGTCCACCGAGAGGAGGCCCAGGGAGAAGAGGACCAGGGCTGTCACGCAGTGGCCTCCGGGGCCGTCCAGGGCGAAGGGCACCACGTGGTCGACGGGGTCGCTGCCATCCTGGTCTTTGAAGGCAAAATAGTCAGGCTGATCCAGCTTGCCGGCGGCCAGGACCCGGTGGAAGAAATGGAAGGACTCGGTGCACAGTGCTCCGGGAAAGCGCCAGGTGAAGAGCCTGCAGGTACAAGAGCAAGGACTAGCAGCCTTGGGCCCTGGCGGCCGTGAGGACGGGGCAGCTGCCCCTCCTCCTCCCAGGTGGAGGCTGCGGAGCTGGGTGTCTGTCCTTCTCCTGCAGTCCCAGGGCCACTCCCACAGCAGCTCTGTGTTTTCGCCTAGCCTGAGCCCGTGCCTCACCTCGCATGTGCTGTGTGCAGTGGCCAGCCTGGTCAGAAGTGTCCCTCCCCGGGGCCTGGGACAACTCCAGAGCGCACCCCATCCTCTGACCCAGGAACTCTGGCCCACAAAGCCCAGAAAGTGGCCCAAGGTCAGATGGTGCTGCTGCACTTGGTCTTCTGTCTCCTGCACCCACAAGTATTTGCAGCAAGGCCAAGGGGCACAGGAACTGAACGGAGCCATGGGGGCTGTCTGCCCGTCTTGGAGGGCGGCTGGGCCAGCCTCAGGCTGGTGGGGGCTTCGTGGAGGAGCTCGGAAGGTGCTGCTCTGGCTGGCCGAGGACTGCGAGGTTAGCCAGCATGCCCCCGCCTCCCTGGGCCAGCGCGCGAGTGTCCTGAGGAAGGAACTTGGGGTCCCACCCCGACCTGGAGGGGCTCCCCTCCTGGACCACGGAGAAGCTTGGAACCAACTCTATTCCCACGTGGCCAGAAGAAGACAAACTATAACAGGGCCACACCCTAACCCCAAACCCTGCGGGCCCTAACCTCCTCCGTTCTGTACTCCTGGGGTGAGGCTGAGGGCCAGGGCTGCCCTGCCTGGCCTCCTCCCTCCTTCCCAGGGTGCACCGGGCTCCCGGGGTGAGGCTGAGGGCCATGGCCGCCCTGCCTGACCTTCTCCCTCCTTCCCAGGGTGCACCGGGCTCCCGGGGTGAGGCTGAGGGCCATGGCCGCCCTGCCTGACTTTCTCCCTCCTTCCCAGGGTGCACATAGCTCCCGGGGTGAGGCTGAGGGCCATGGCCGCCCTGCCTGACCTTCTCCCTCCTTCCTAGGGTGCACCAGGCTCCCGGGGTGAGGCTGAGGGCCAGGGCTGCTCTGCCTGGCCTCCTCCCTCCTTCCCAGGGTGCACCGGGCTCCCGGGGTGAGGCTGAGGGCCAGGGCTGCCCTGCCCGGGGGCCGGCGGGGAGCTCACCTGTAGTAGGACTGTGACAGCTGGTAGGACATGGGCACAAAGGGCAAGGCCCGGTTTTTCTTGGGGCCCATCAGGTGATTGACCCGGCGCCGGTTGACCAGGCCCCTCTTCTGGCAATCCACAAAGGCCTTGACAAGCACGGGCTCCCGGTACTTCCGGTAGAGGTGGAAGGTCTGCAATAAGGCACTAGGCGGGTGAGGGAGGCGCCGAGGCCCAGGATGCATGGAAGCACTAGGAATCAGTCCCGGGACCTGGGTGGACAGACAGGCCATGGGCGGGGAGGCGGAGCACAGTAGTGGAGTGAACCTAGAGGGGGCGGCTCTCAGACGGCACTTCTCCCATCTCCCCACCTACAGCAGCTACCAGACCACAAACGAAGCCTCTCGTGTGTGTGTGTGTGTGTGTGTGTGTGTGTGTGTGTGTGTGTGTGTGTGTGTGTGTGTGTGTGTGTGTGTGTGTGTGTGTGTGTGTGCACTGGGGATGGAACTCAGGGCCTTGTGCTTTTCCTTATCTTCTTCCGCTTAAGGCTGGAGCCACATCTCTACTTCTGGCTTTTTTTTTTTTTTTTTTTTGCTGGCTAACTGGAGATAAAAAGTCTCTCAGAAGCCAGGTGCTATCCAGGAGGCTGAGATCTGAGGATCGCCGTTTGTGAGAGTCATGTCCAATGCACCACCAGCAAACGGGAAGTGGAGCTGTGATTCCAAGTGGTAGAATGCACCCCTTGAGCAAAAAAGCCCAGGTAGAGAGTCCAGGCCCTGAGTTCAAGCCCCACAATGGTCAAAAAAAAAGGTCTGGGATTTGTCTTCTCAGGCTGGCTTAAAATCCTCTCAGATCTCAGCCTCCTGAGGAGCCAGGATTACAAGAGCGAGCCCCAGCGCCCGCTCCAAGTCTATCTCTTTGGGCAGAGCCTATGGGACCAACATAGGGTGCTGCCTGCTCTCACTCTTGCTTCACCTCCCCCAGCCTCAGCTGTCGGTTTGGCCTGCAGCCTGTGTCCCCTGACTCAAGCCCCAGGCCAGGCATGAAAGAAAAGAAAGCAAAAGGAGAGAAAAGACATGGGCATAGCCCTGTGGTAAGAACATTTGCTTAGTGTATACAAGACCCTGGGTTCCATCAGCACCGCAAATGAGCCAACAGAACCTCCGGGGAGATGAGAGCTCAAGCCTCCAGGCCCGGGTGGCGCAGGCACGGCCAGGACCCACCTGGAAGGACTGGCAGGACTTCATCTGGCTGTTGGACAGGGACAGCGTGCTCTGGATCAGGTTCTGCAGCACCAGTAAGTGAATGTCGTCCACACTGGAAGAGACAGCAGGGCTGCATGCGGTGCGGCGGGCCGGGCCCAAAGGGGCGGGGCCAGGCAGCATGGGGTGGGGTGGGGCTGGGCACCAAGGGGCAGGGCCAGGCCCAAAGGGGTGGGGCCAGGCAGCATGGGGTGGGGTGGGGCTGGGCAGCATGGGGTGGGGTGGGGCTGGGCACCAAGGGGCAGGGCCAGGCCCCAAGGGGCGGGGCCAGGCTCCAAGGGGCTGGGCTGGGCAGGATGGGGTGGGGTGGGGCCAGGCCCCAAGGGGCAGGGCCAGGCCCAAAGGGGTGGGGCCAGGCAGCATGGGGTGGGGTGGGGCTGGGCCCCAAGGGGCGGGGCCGGGCAGCATGGGGTGGGGTGGGGCTGGGCACCAAGGGGCAGGGCCAGGCCCCAAGGGGCGGGGCCGGGCCCCAAGGGGCGGGGCTGGGCAGCATGGGGTGGGGCGGGGCTGGGCACCAAGGGGCAGGGCCGGGCAGCAAGAGGTGAGGTGGGGCTGCATGGGGGCTGGAGGGGCCTCAGCCTGTCCTCAAGGCCATGTTTGACTTTGGAGGTTCCAGATCATTCCCAGTTTTAAAAAGGGGCCCAATCTCCTCCAAGTGACAGGAGCACCAAAGCCAGTCACAAAGCCACACCAAACAAACCTAATCACCAGTCACTGTTAGGACTTACTAACAAGTTTCTCTGGGGGAAGAAGGGTTTGCCCCAGTGGGCAATGGATGCCATAGCTAGAACTGGCTACAGACAGCGGGCTGCGGTAGTCTATGGCAGCAGACAAATTGCACACTGTCTTTCCCCCTTGTTCAAGTGAGTTTGTCTCCAAAGACAGTAGTCTCTCAATGAATTACAGAGCTAAAAGCAATGTGTAGAGAAAAAGTGGGGAGGAAGCTCAAATGTTCCCCCCCCCCCCCCCCCCCGCAGGCCACCTTAAGGCAGCGTGAGGGGAGCCTAGGGGCTGGCAAGCCTTTTCTGTACAGGGCCATAAGCCATGCCGTAGTCTTTTGGGCTCTATAGATTCCTGAGATGATGCACCATGCACGCCATAGCACACAGGCAGCTTGGGGGAGGATACACAGAATGGGCATGACCTGCGATCCAATGAGCCTTTCATTTACAGTCAGGTGTGGTCTGGACCTGAGCGCCGCCTCCCCTCGCCCGGCTGGGTGCAGCTGCGGGAAAGGCACGTGCTTGCGCGTGCCCCTCACCTGTGAAGGACATCCTCCTTCCTGATGCGATCTTTCTCATCCCCGATTGCCAACACTCGGTACCTGCAGGGGACAGGAGAGCACAGCAGTGCCGATGGCCCGGCTGATGCTCCTGAGATGGCCACTTACTGCTGAGAAGGGGCGGGGAAACACCATGCTCACCCAAAGCCAAACACTGCACATTTAACTCAACCACACTGTGCCACGCTGTGCGCGTCCAGTGCGCCTGTCTGAAGGAGCGGGGTAGAGAAGATGGCTAACCCAGAGGCAACGGGCTGACCCGGACCCAGCTCCTAGCGAACAGAGCAGGATGTGGAACTGGGCCCACTGTGATTAGAAAACGAGACACCAGAGGAGCCCGGAAGATTCCAAAAGGATTCTGAGAAGGCTAATCTAAGAGAAACCAAGCAGAAGGCAGCTGGGACTGAGAAAGAGATAAAGGAACAGAATCTCAAGTTCCAGTGATCTTCTATTGCCCAGTGACCAGTTAACAACAACACTGTATGTATCAAAACATCACACACCATAAACATATGCCATGAAAACATAACAAGTAAGTTGGACACAGCGACACATGCCTGTAGCTCCAGCACTTGGAGGGGGCTGAACAGGGAGATTTTGAAGGCCGGCCTAGGCTAAAGAGTAAGACCCTGCCTCCAAAAACCAAGGGCTGGGATGTAACTCAGTGGTACAGCGCTTGAAACCGGGGCTTCCAGCCCCGGTACTGAATTACTGAATGAATGAATGAAAAGCCCAAAGGACAGTTGCTGCATTCGATGGTAGAATAGTGTCTACTTCTCTACTTCAGTGAGCTCCATAAGGGTCATTGTACTAGGTTCATCTCAAGCAAGTAAGTATAAACAGTGGCCATTTTAAGAACATGGTCATTTGTAAGATATTCCCTCCTGAAACGCAGTGCCAAGAAGAACCCCCTTTTCAGAGAAGTGTGCAAACTACTTTTAGCTGAGATGGGAAAGTAGGGAACTCTTTTCTAGTCTGCCTGGCCTGCCAGAAGGCTCAGGGCCAAAGCCAGTGTTAAATTCTCCAGTGCCACGCGTTCAATCCTCAAGATGGATCAGGAGCGCCTGCCTGTTAGAGGCTTTACTGTTACTGCTGCCTTCCGGGGTGAGAAGCTGGACCTACTTCACTGCAAATGTGGGGACATAAATGACAAGCAGGCCAACAGGCCAGAGACGCGCTTAAAACTGAACATAACTGTGCCACGTGGGATTCTAGGAAACAGTTTACTGCAGAAATAAAGCAAAGCCCAGCAGAGGGCTAAAGGCAGCCGAGTCCAAGATCACTACCTGGGCCTGGCGCTCGGACCATGGGAATGACCTGCTGGGCAGGTGGAAGGGTAACAGCCAATGGGCATGCAGCAAGCAAAGGCATCATCAGTTCACGAGCAGGAGCTGCCCAATGAACACTGTCCAGGAGGCCTCTCTCCATGTGGATGGTGAGAAGAAGGCTCACTGCGCCCATGTCCAGCCTACAGGCCTCGTCTGCAGAGCTTACAGAGGACTACACTGTTTCACTGGGTTCTGTGTTGAAAGCCAAGTGAGTTCTTTTTTGTTTTGGGTCGTGGGGCTTGAACTCTGGGCCTGGGCGCTGTCCCTCAGCGCTTCAGCTCAAGGCTAGCGCTCGACCACTCGAGCCACATTGCCACTTCTGGTTTTTTGGTGGTTAATTGTAGCTAAGCGTCTCATGGACTTTCCTACCTGGACTGGCTTTGAACCATGATCCTCAGACCTCAGGCTCCTGAGCAGCTAGAATGACAGGTGAGAGCCACCAGCGCCCAGCTCCAAGTGAGTTCTTAAGCTGAGCTGGACAGTGCAGAGCTCTGGCGTGGAGCGGCTCGGGTCCAGCCCCGGGACGTGTGTGTGCTGCCGCGCGTGGCTGAGTGCCAGCTCCTCCTCTGTACCTGTGGCTTCAGCTATGCTCGAGCAAGGAGCTCCTCACCACGCTCTCTTCCTCGCTCCCACCCCCACGCCTCACGTGGGAAGCCCCGCTGCCTCTCTGCCAGAGCTCACCTGGAGAACAGCTCACGCAGCGTGTCGGGGATCTCCAGGTTCGTGTTCTTCAGTGCCGAACTGAACTTCTCCTTCAGCTTCTCCACAAATTCTTTAAACTCGTCGGCACAAACCTTTGGCGTGGGGAGCGATGTGAGCCCTTCCCTTCCACACAGACGCATCAAGACACAACTTGTGACAACCTCCCTCCCACGTCCATAGGGGGAGGTGGCAGACGCTCAGCACCCTGCCAGGAGCCCAGCAGGCACGCTGATGCCCGCTCTCCCTGCCCCACACGTCCCGCTCTGTGCCCACAGTGCGCTAGCACTAGGAGCTGGCAGGTGGCCTCCTCCTCCTCCAGCCCCTCTAACCTGCAGGCCCCAAACCAGCCCCCCCCCCCCACCAGCCATCCTCAAAACACCAGAGCAGCACCCCGGCAAGTCTGGATGGCTCCATGTCTAAAGAGCTGCCCTGTATTCTTGACAAAATGGAGTCCAGGGAAAAAGGGCTGACAAGCTCATTTCCCAAAGGAGCTTGTGGGGCTGGCAGAGGCAGTGAGGAGACCAGGCCAGCACCGGCTACCAGGCATAAAGCAGGCTGGCTCCGCTGCCTCCTGGGACCCACCTTTGGGTCTTCGTAGTCACACCTTCGGTTCATAAAGTCTCCAACAAGAGCTTTGTCCTGGTACACCTCGGCCAGGCAGACCCTGTGCAAAGACAGGGGAGAAGCAAGTCTGGATCTGGGCCCGTGTCCAGGTGTTGGCCAGCAGGACGTGTCTGGAACTGGTGGCCCAAAGTCACAGCTGTCCACTCCACTGCCCTTTAAACATCCACCCACAGGTCCTTGGTGTCTGAGACGCAGGCCCTGGCTGGCTGGCTGTCACTTACTTCACAGCCTGGGCCAGGCAGCCCAGGTTTCAGAACTCGCTGCATAGCGTCACACCCTCTCTTATCCAGACCTGCTTCTTTTTCGGGACAAAGTCTGGATTGGGAAGGTCCTCCAGGGAAGACTCCAGAGGGAGGGAGACATGGCAAAAGGCCTGCTGATCAAGATTTTGCCCCCCAGGGTGTGGTCTAGCTGTCACGCTGGCATCTAGGGCGCAGAGGCAAGGAGCTAGTCCCAGCATGAAGTGTCAAGGCCGCGCCAGCCACGGCATAGCTAACTGCAGGCAGTCCAGCGCCCAGGCCCTAGGAGTGTCAGGCACTCTGGGGGTGGTTTTCCTGTCCCCACCCCTCTCACTTGTGCAGGGGGCAGAGGGGTGACCCTGCTGCTAATAGCCCAGCCACGGGCTGTGGCTTCCGGGACACTCAGCTCCGTGGGGGGACACAGTTCTGCTGGGGATGGGGTTCCATGACCCAGGCCCTAGTTTCTTGTGAATGAGCTACAGATGGGCTGCTCACAGCCAGCACAGGAGCTGCAGTGGAAGCAGAGGGCAAACTGGCCTCCATCCCCTTCCGCGGTGGACTCGAGACCACTCAGTGGGTAACTGCACTTAAAAGCACGCTTGGGAAAGCACCTGCCCAGCGCACACCGGCCTGGGGAAAGCCAAGGCGGCAAGCGGCTGGCAGATCCACACCTGGATAGAGCCCTGGAACGCCGGCTTCCCCCAGCTGAGACATGCGCATGGCTGGAGAGAATGACCTAGAAGCCTAGGGATAACCCAGAAGCTCCCATCCACTTACTTGTAGTTGAGATAGGCTTGCGGGTTTTTGACTATGTAGCGGGCTCTCCGGCCGACGGAGTGAGACGTCTTATCCAGAGACTCCTCGAAGGTGGAGTGCAGAATGTCCCGCACCACCTGCCACGTGACGAAAGGGCCCTTCACCTGCACCCAAGAGCAGAGATGGGAATTCAGTGCCCGCAGGGGGACTGAGCCGCAACCACGGTTTGGGGAGAACACATGGCCCTCGGGTGGGACTGACGAGCCTGCAGCTGGGACCCTCACTGGCCGCTGTGGCCGACATGGAGACGGGTTACACACTGGCTCTGCCGGTACCAGCACCCAGGCAAGGGGCCTGGGCCCACCGCGGGCCGAGCGCACCGTGCAGCGGCCTTACTAGACACGCACCGCGCCGCTGCACATGGACACGACGGGGCCGCACCAAGCCGAAGGACAAAGGAGCGGATGAGGAGCTTTAGGGGTGCCGGTGGGGGTGTGGAGGGGCCTGGCGTGGGGGTGGGGGGGCTCCCCTGGGACACAGGCAGGGAGTAAAAGGGGGAGACACCCAACAAGCCAAGCCAGGCAGTGTCGCCAGCCAGCCCCGTGGGAGCGGGGCAGATGGGAGTCTGGCTGTGGTGATGTCACCTTGGCGTTGAGGACGTTGCTGGCGATGCGGCACAGCATGAGCAGCCCGTCCTCCTGCGTGGACCAGGACACGCGCAGCCGTGTCATCCTCTGCAGGGCGCTCTGGTCGGCCTCGTCGTGGTAGCGCAGCCGTTTGTCTGCAGGTTCTGGGAGCTCCCCTAGGAACCGCGGGGCGGTGGGGGGGGGGGGGAGAGAGGGCGCCTCAGGTGACTGGTGGGGAGCTGCCACTCAAGTCTCCACAGGGGCTGGGCAGGGGCTCAGTGGTGGAGTGCTTGCCTAGCATGCATGAAGCTCTGGGTTCGATTCCTCAGCACCACATACACAGAAAAGGCTGGATGTGGTGCTGTGGCTCAAGTGATAGAGTACTAGCCTTGAGCAAAAGAAACTCAGGGACAGCGCCCAGGCCCTGAGTTCAAGCCCCAGGACTGGGGGGGGGGAGGAAAAAAAAAAAAAAAGAGGCTCCACATTTTCATGGTGCCCACACAAGACTTGGCCCTCCTCATTACTCCATGCATCTTCCTCTGGCTACACTTCCAGGCGACAGGCTGGGCAAGCGGAAGGTAGCCCCTTGTTATTCGTCTGCTGATCTTGGCTTGTGCTTGCTCCCCTTGGATGGCGAGTCCTCTGAGAGGACTTTACCCTTCCAGATTACCACAATCCAGCAAACTGAGAGGTTCCCCCCGCCCCCGCCAGCCATGGAGCACCCTCAGAACAAGCCACTGAAGGCAGGCCCTGCCTACGTGATGTTTTACAATACATGGCCCAGGCAAGTGGGCCTAAACGCTGACACTTCTTGTCCCAATAAGAACCAGAAGATGCCCCGAGGGCTGTGTGGATCTGAGGACTCCTAAAGCCGAACACGGTTCAGTCAGGGGGGAGGACTTTTGGGGGTAGCTAAGGGAAGGCATACGGGACACGAGGCAGGGCATACACGGGGAGTCTGTGCGCAGCCCTCCGGGTCTAGGGCAGAGCCCGCATGTGCTGCGGCTCCTGCACAGCCCTGACACGCAATCCTGAAGCCCAGAAGCAGCAAGGATTCTGCAGAACCTTTCTTGCTCCTCTTCGTCCTCTTCCCGGGATCCTTCTTCAGCCGCCGCCGCTTCTGGCTCCTGCCGCCCTGCACGCGGTGGTTGCGGCCCAGCAGCGGCTCCTGCTCCAGCTGCAACAGCTCCTCCCGCTCGGCATAGAAGTCCATGCTTGTTTTCGCGTCTCCCCAGACGGGCAGCCGGCCTGTGCCTGGAAAGCACGTAAGACATGGCGGCCTCAGGATGGAGCGGTGAGGCCCAGCGTGCCCCGCCGGCCCCAGGCGGATGGGGCGGGGCTCGGCTCAGCACCCACCTCCGGCAGCCAGCGGGATGGGGCGCCTGGACAGGAAGGTCTGCAGCCTCACGGTGAACCCGCTCTCGGCGACAATGTTCTCCTGAGAGACAAGCGTGGCACTGAAGTCACCAGGGCCCAGGCAGCCTGTCCAGCCCTGCTGGGGCTCTGTGTGCCCACTCGGGAGCAGTGAAATGGGGGTGGGGTGTGTGGGAGGACATGCGCAGAAGGGGACACCCCCCCCCTTCCTGCCCAGAGCCCACCCACCTTTCTGGCTTTGTTGATGATGTAGCTGGTCCAGATCCAGTTGCGCTTGAGGTGGGCATAGAAACTAGAATCGAGGCCAGCGGCTCCCAGCCCGTCACCAGGCACCACACCTTCATCCACAACCTCTCGGCTCCCGCTGAGACAGGAAACGGAAGTGTAAACCAAGAGACTATGGTATATGTGTGTGTGTGTGGGGGGGGGGGATACTCTTTCTGTGTGCCCAGAGTTTACCTCCCCCATAAAGCACCCAACAGATAGAAGCGAAGAGCTTCTTTGCTTGGAGCCTAGTGTTGGCAGATGGTCACTTTCCCCAAAGTCAAAGATGGAAGCGGAGCTTTGGGTCAAGTGGCAGAATTAGCCTTAAGCAAAAATGTCAAATGAGGGCAAGACTCCCTGAGTTCAAGCCCCAGTACCAGCATGCGCATGCACGTGCGCACCCACACACACAAAATCCACAGTTACATACGATTACCAACTTCTAAGTTCCAACAGATAGAATACACAATATATGGGGCTGGGAATGCGGTTTAGTGGTAGAGTGCTTGCCTAGCATGCATGAGGCCCTGGGTTCAACTGCACAGTACCACATAAACTTTAAAAAATAAATAAAAAGCAACCACAAGTGAGCTGGACGCTGGTGCTCCATGCCCATAATCCTAGCTACCCAGGAGGCTGAGATCTGAACACTGAAGTTCAGAGGTAGCCTAGGCAAGAAAAGTCCTAGACACTTATTTCTAATTACCTAACAAAAATCCAGTGGTAGAGCGCCAGCCTGGAGCAGAGAAAGCTTAGGGACAGTGCCCAGGACCTGCGTTCCAGTACGCATGCACACACAACTCAGGAAAGACGTGTAGGCTAATGAATAAGTGTAATCAGTGCTACATGTGTTCAAGAGTCACCAATGGCTGCGTCTGCAGGGCCTTGACCCTGGGCTCCGATGGCATAAGGCCACGGGGCACGGCTGCCGGGGCGTGGGGGCGGCACGGGGGAGGGCACGCACGTGGTGTACTCCAGCATGGCACACTTGCGCTCCAGGTTGTGCTTGTCGATGGCGTTCTCCTGCTCCTTCTGCAGGCTGCCCTCCTGCTCCTCGCCCTGCCCCTGGCTGCTCTTCTGGACGCAGGGGCAGCGCACCACGCCTGGAAAAGCAAAAGGAAGATGGGGGGCAAAGGGAAGGATGCTAAACCACCAGTGAGTGAACCCCCAAAGAGGGAGTTTGCTGAGCAGAGTCTGTGAAGGGCACGGTGGGCTGGTTTCTGGGGAAAAGCCAGCTTCCTCCTGGAAGCCACGTTGTTGCTGTGTGTGTGGGGGGGGGGGGGGGGGAAGGGGGGCGCAGCTGAGACAAGCGGCAGGAAGTCCTGCCCTTGGGACCAGCAGGGGGCGGGGTGTGGCGGGGCAGTGGGGTGGGCAGCACACTGGCTCCTCAGCCTCTACGAGGCCCCGGGAGCAGCGGGTGGGAAATTCCCTAAGTGCGTACAGGGTGTGTGCCTACGTAAGGACAAGTCATTTTTAATTACTCCGCAAGAAAGAAAATCCTATTTCTTGCCCATAAGCGACACTTAAACTCACTGAGGTGAAGACACAGCGCCCCCACTTCAAAGCTGGCCCCAGGGAGCAGCCTAAAAACCATCGAGCCTCTTGGAGCTCTGGAGGCTGATTACAGAGGGAGGGGAGGGAGGGGAGGGAGGGGAGGGAGGGGAGGGAGGGGAGGGAGAGGAGGCCCCTGTCAGCTAGATGACGCACCTAGTGGGGTATTGAGGCACACACACTGCAGGTCAAACCAGTAACTCTCCACGTCCTGCATGGAGTCCAGCACGTAGAGACGCCTCTCAAAGGGCCGTGTGCTGTGGGCCATGTTGTAATGCGGGTCACAGATGGTGGTGTCGATGATGACCGCATTCTTCTTCAGGAACACGAACACCTGCAGGAGATCCCCACGGGAGAGGGACGTGGGGGTCAGCATCCCGGCTGCTTGGTCACCAGGATTCTTGGGTTGGTGCTGGGGGGACATTACCTGGTCTTTGTCCTGGAACTTTTCTGTGGGGCCGAACTGCAGAAGCCCCATGTAGCACAGCCTCTGAAGGTTCTCCACCACCGAGAAGATGTACCGCCTGCAACAGAACAGAGAGGGGAGATTCACCGCCCGGAATGCAGCCATTGGCAGGGGGTGGGTTCTCAGCAGGGGCATGCGTACTTCTCTTCCCTAGCTGGGCTGCCTCCAGCTGGTACTGGGAAAGGCCTGGCGCCTCCCTTCCTACCCCTAAGTGGGGCAAGGGAAGGCTGACCCACAACTGGGCTTGATTTGGACAGCAAATGCAACAGAAGGAATCAAAACCAAAATACAATACTCCAGTAGTTGTGGTCCCTAGCAGTAAAATTTGACTTGACTTTCACTTAAAATGTACCGGCAGCTCCTATTTCTTTTCTTTCTCTTTCTCCTTCCCTCCCTTCTTCCCTCCCTCCATCCCTCCTTCCCTTCCTTCCTTTCTTTCTTTCGTCGTGGGGCTTGAACTCTGGGCCTGGGCGCTGTCCCTCAGCTCTTCAGCTCAAGGTGAGCGCTCTACCACTTGAGCCACAGCGCCACTTCCAGCTCCTATTTCTTTGGTGGTTCAATTAATGGAAAACCTTGAGGTTTTCTGGCCAAGAAGGTGGCACCTCTTCCTCTTGTGGGGTGGGGATGGGTAGGAGGGTTTAGGGCCCTGTCTCCCAGGGCTGGCTGGGACACGAGCTGTGGGGTCCCAGGCCTCACCTCTTATATAGGAGCTGCTGCCGGATGGCCCTGGGGAGGCAGCGGATGAGTGTATGTTTCTTCAGAGGGTCATTCAGGTACTCCTCCAGGTTTTCCACCTACAGAGGCCATCGGGAGGGTGAGCCTGGCATGAGGCCAGGGGCAACTGCAAGCCTCAGGGGAATGACTGAACCCCCCCCCCAAGCCTCCTGCCTCTCTGCCCTGGCAGCTACTGGTCACCTCGCGTGGGTGACAGACAGCATCCTTGTGCTTTGGGGACATCAGGAGGCAAACAGTGGAGATTTATACAAAACAGGGATTCTGCAGCTGCCTGCATGTCTGTCTACCACATGTCATCAGCAAGAAACCAGTTTTAAATGCCAAAAAAAGAAGTTGGTGTTAGTTATGGGACATGCTTAAGAACGAATACAATGAACTACTTAACATCAAATTAAAAATTATAGTGATGTGAAAAGTTTAACAACAATGTTCCATGGAAAGAACAGCTAACGAAAGTAAGCATCCCAACTCCTTTTTTAAAACGAGAGATCACAGGGCTGGGAAGGTGGCTCAGTGGTAGAGCGCTTGCCTTGCATGCCTGAGGCCCTGGGTTCGATTCCTCAGCACCACATGTGCAAAAAGAAAAAATCCGGAAGTGGCACTGTGGCTCAAGTGGTAGAGCGCTAGCTTGAGCTGAAGAGCTGAGGGACAGCGCCCAGGCCCAGAGTTCAGGCCCCACGACTGGACCCCCCCTCCCCCAAAAAAAAAGAAATACAAAAAAGAGAGATCACACACAGCACAGTAAAAAAAAGACTGGAAGAAAATGTATCAAAAACACGAGCCATTATTCCCTCTAGAAGTGATGTGGCTATAGCTAGTCTCTATTTTACTGAATTTCTAAAGCCACGTTTTGTTGTTACACTGCAGTTATCTTTCTGCCTATCTAAAGACAGATCCATCTAGAAGAACAAGTCTTTAGTATAAGCCACTGACCATCCATCCATTCATCCATCCTATTATCTATTTCTACTCTAATCTATCTAGTAGAAAAGTATCTTGGAAATACTTTTCATCTTACCTTTCTTCTACCAATCCACCCACCTCATCCACCTACCTACCCATCCACCCACCCATCTACCCATCCATCCATGCATCCATCCATTTATCCACCAATCCATCTACCCACCATCCACCCACCCCCCCATCCTTGCTGCCCCAGTTCTTTCCCTTCACCAGTTGAGTGCATCTCCCACTGTTACGGTACCTTGTAGCTGACTTGCACAATCTGGACGAAGATGGAGAGGGGCAGGCAGAGAAGAATGTCACTGACGAGAGCCCAGCCAAAGCCAAAGTCTCTGTGGATTGGGATGGGAGGGACGTAGCGCATCCACGAGGCGTCATCCACGTACACTGGGAAGGAAAGCAGAGGGAGTCACTCTCGGTGGACGGGATCCACTCACAAGCGTGAGGCTGTCTCCGGCTCAGACAGGAAGCCGGGTCAGGAAGTGCTCTGGGAGCCTCCTCACCTGTCTCCGGGGTGCGCTCCACTTCAGTCTCCCGGGCAATGCCTTCGAGGCGGTCCTTGGCTTCTGAGGCCTCCCAGTCACTTCCCAGGGAGGAGCGCTGGGCTCCTGCTTTGCCTGCCCTCCTCTCGCTGCTAAAGCCCATCTTCTCCACCGAGTGGCTGGCTGGGTGCCCGTAGATCAGGTACCACAGGAACGTGTGGATCACCCGCAGCCGAGGCATTTTGGGCAGAAACCCAAGGGACCGCCCAAGCCCTGGAACTGAAGGAGAAAGGGGTGGGTGGGGGCTTGAGAAATCGCCGATAAAATTCAGCTCAATTCACCTCAAACCACTGCCCAAGAGATGGCAAACATGCTCCCTCCCTGGGTCCTCCCTCCCTGGTGGGAAACAAGCACAGAAATACCGAAAGGAAGGAGGAGGCTGGAGTCCTAGAGGTGGGGAAAGACCTCCCTGGGGAGGACACTCGCCTGAAAGGCAGGATCGAAAGCAAGGGAGGCTGGGGGGCATGGAGAAAGTAGGCATCACAGAGGGCCACCAGATGAAGACTTGTGACTCAATGAGGCTGGGCTAACTATTCCCAACCTCTTCTTCATTTCTTTGTTGATCCAGGAGGCCCCTGACTCCCTAGCAGCAGAGGCCAGGTGTCCGGCAGGAGCAGACTCGGGGATGGGAGATACCTGCTGGCCCTGCCCGCTCTAGTGCACACCACGTGACTGGTGCCTGACGCCGTCTGACCTGCGCCAGGGCAGTGCTGCCCAAGGGGCACCCGTGGAGGGAAACCACACACACGGCTGCTGTGGCTTGGAACCCACGCCTGCCATGCCCCACGCCAGACACGGCTGGTGGAGGTTGGGGCCCTGTGGTATCAAGGCAGCCCTCCTTCCCCAACAGCACCCTGACTACAGAGCCCTGGCCAGCTGCTGGAGCAGCTTGGTGGGGAAGCGGTGGCCCTGTGAGAGCCAGGAAAGCCACACAGGCACTTAGTGACGGAGGCAGTGCCTGTGGCTTGTGGAATGTCCCAACTAAGTGTACTGAGGAGAAGCAACTCATCCTGAGAGCAAAGTCCTTGGGCTGGGCTCGCGCATTATCTCAGCTGGGCTCCCACCAACCTGGCACAGTACACCAGACAAGAACAGTCTCCATCTTGCAGACAGGGACACAAGGGTGACAGAGATTATGTGAACAGCCTCTAAGGGGCCAGCTGGTAATTCACAACTGACAGAGCTTGGTGGAGAACACACAACGGACCACACCCGCGAGTTCAGAGAAGCCAGATCCAAGACAAGTAAATGCATCGCTCTTTACCTACAACGGGCTTGTAATTTTTAAGTGGAGGCACGCCCATTTTCTCCTCGGCCTTCTTTGCCCGAGCGCTGTCAGCCTTGGAGGGGCTGGTTAGGTAGGAGTCTCCTGGGCCGCTTGGGCCCTCTGCTTCGTGACTTTCTTCTTCAATCTCCTCTTGGGGTGCTGGGGGTTGGGGAACCTTCACCCTGCGGATGGGTCATGAGAAAACTCAAGGGCTGGGGGAATGGTGGGTCAGACCAAGCTTGTGGGGCCTGGCATTGTTCACACTCACTCATCATGGGCGCAGACTAATGATGCCAACTAATATTTTCTCTGGGTGACTGAGACATGGGGGTGGGGGTCCCCGTAAGCACATGCCTGCCTGCAGGGTTCCTCTGCCACCTGAGGTAGAAGCATAGCGTCCTGGGTCTCTGCCGTTACACACGACAGCAACGAGGAACTTGGGCAACTGGTTTAATCACTGTGGCAGGACATGCAGATACCACCAATTCGAGCTTGCAGCTCAGCTACCATGGACCACCTCTGGTCTGCTGAGAATTTCTCCCATGCCTGAGTTTTCCCTCAGCCTGTACCCCATGCCTGAAGCTCAGGGAGAAGAGCCGCTCAGTGCTATGGTGAGACTGAACAGAGATGCCCCTACCTGGGACAGGGGCCTAGGGTGAAGACACACATCACGTCCGAAGATCTAGGGCCTGAGGGACCCTAGGGCTGGGGGACCATGCTACGTGCTTGAACCCAAGGCCATTGATGGTGGGAGGGTTTAGCAGGAGCGGTGAGTTGCTAGGGCAACCCCTGGGTGTGGCAGGTACTTACCTGTTGGCGGTGCTTGAGTTGGAGATGCGGAATCGGACCTGCTCGATGGCACTTCTGACCAGAGGGTCGTTCTGATCCATGGACGGGTGTACAACCAGGTCCACCTACAGAGAGGAGAGACATGAGGGAGGGCGGAGCCGGGGAAGGCAGGGCTGAAGAAGCCAACTTGTGTCTATAGCAAGTTCCTTAGCAGAACAATGCTGTGTGTGTCCAACATCTCCAGCAGGCAATCCCAAGAAGCAAGCCAAACGTGGGCTCTCCACAGTCTATAGGTGCTATACCACAACTGTTCAGGAGATCACATGGCCAAGCTCTGGACACAGCTGTCCACCTACGGTACCCTGGCTAGGCCTTCATCATTGCCTGCGGGGCATCCTTCTGTCTGGAGCTGTACCCAGTACCTGCTCTGCTAAATCCTGTACCTGCCTCTCCCGTGCCTTGAGTTGCGAGGCAGGTAGCTGCCTTCCCTGGAGCTCTCTTTTCCCCTGAATGGCTGGGCCCTAAACAAACTCCTCTAAGAGGACATAGAGTTGCTTCTGATTTGGCTTTCCCTCGGAACTAAGGCTATGGGATGGAGACAAATGAGTGGCTCTGGGGAGCTAGGCCCATTGCTACCTTCTTCCTTTTTTTTTTGAAGTAAAATTTTACTTCATTTTTATATTACTCTGATGTAGAAATATTATTGGAGCCAGAAAATAAGGCCAAATAGTTTCTTTTTAAAATAACCAGGGCTGGGAAGTTGGCTCAGTGGTAGAGCGCTTGCCTTGCATGCCTGAGGCCCTGGGTTCCATTCCTCAGCACCACATAAGCAAAAAGAAAAAAGCCGGAAGTGGCGCTGTGGCTCAAGTGGTAGAACGCTAGCCTTGAGCTGAAGAGCTGAGGGACAGCGCCCAGGCCCAGAGTTCAGGCCCCACGACGGGACCAAAAAAAAAAAAAATAATAATAAAATAACCATTGTTGCTGGTGGCTCACACCTGTCATCCTAGCTACTCAGGAGGCCAAGATCTGAGGCTTGTGGTTCAAAGCCAGCCTGGGCAGGAAAGTTCCAAGACTCTTATCTCCAGTTAGAAAAGCAGAAGTGGAACTGTGGCCCAAAGTGGTAGAGTGTTAGCCTTGAGCAAAAAATGAGCAAAAACAAACCCACAGCAAGATGGGAGAGAACAATGAAGCTGCACTGTACTTATAACTAAATATTTAACAAACAGACACTGCACTGTTTTGGGAAGTAGGTTGTCTTCTGTCAACAGAATATTGACACAATTACATAATTAGCGACATAGATACAATACAACTAAAGATTAAACGATGAAAGCCAAAGCTTTTTTTTCTCTCCAAGGTTGAGAGGGTGTAACAGATGCTTCAGGGTTTTTTTTTTTCCAGGCAGCTAACATAACATTAAAGCCTATGTTTTCTGTGATTCTTTTAACGCATATTTATAATGGATATGCCCCAGAAAAATCTAGAATAATAGGCAACTAAAATTAGAATAGAACAACAACAACAACAAAAACCCTAGTAGAATAAAAGAGTTTTCACTCAAAGACTCATGGGAGGTAATGAATTAATTAGAAAACGAGAACAAGACCCGAGGCTACCTTCTTCTTGATGCCATCCTGGACCACGGTGGTCCGGTAGAGCCTCAGGAGCCCCTCCTCAGACAGGTTCCTCACCAGGCGCACGATGGACTTCTTACAGCACTTGGTGGCCACGCCTTCCTGCTTCTCCTGGTCCATGATCATTTTCTGAATCCTGCAACGTTACAAAGTAAGCGGGCCGTCCTCCCCATCTCCACGCGGAAGGCCACGCAGTCAGTGCAGGTGCACACCAGAGCAGAATCACAGGGGTTTCCCACACCCTGCAGGGGCTGATGCCTTAGAGCATCCAGGAAGATCTCTCTCCTAGGCTGAGCAAGTAAGTGGAAGGCAAGCCCCCTCACCAGCAAGCAGAAACCCCCTGATTTGTGGTGGCAGGAGGAACACGAGTGGCGTGGAGGGGACTGTCACACCAGCCAAGGATGTCCCGGGTAACCACCGCCTCCTCGCCCTGAGCCTCGGTCCTCTCCATGTCTCCCGTTCTCTGGATCTTACCGGGTCACTATGGCATTGCTAGACCACCAATCACAAAACGCTAGGGCCAAAGGGGACATTAGGGACAGGCATTGTGGCTCGTGCCTGTCATCCTAGCCACACAGAAGGCTGAGATCAATATGGTGGTTTCAGGCCAGCCCAGGTGGCTCACACCTGTAATCCTAGCTACTCTGGAGGCTGAGATCTGAGGATCATAGTTCAAAGCCAGCCCAGGCAGAAAACTCTGTGAGACTCTGATCTCCAATAAAGCACTAGAAAACCGGATGTGGTGCTGTGGCTCAAGTGGTAGAGCGCTCGCCTTGAGCTGAAGAGCGCAGGGACAGCGCCCAGGCCCAGAGTTCAAGCCCCACGACCATCACAACTGACAACATGGCTCAGTGAAAAGAACGCTTGCCTGGCAAGCAGGAGGCCTTGAGTTGGAACTCCAGCAGTGCAGAAAACAAAGAGGGAAAAAGGAAAATAGAAAAGACTAGCTATGGTGCATGCCTGCTATCCCATTTATACAGAAGATATAAATAGGAGGATCAGAGTTCAGGCCAGCCTGGATTAAAAAACAAGTCCCTATCACAAAAATCACTAAAGCATAAAGGGGCTGTGGGCATGGCTCAAGTGATACAGCACCTGCCTACCAGCAGGCTTCATGTCCTGAGTTCAAACCTTAATACCACACACTCAAAATGGGGCTGGGTGCTGGTGGTTCACGCCTATAATCCAGCTACTCAGGAGGCTGAGATTTGAGGACTGAAGTTTGAAGCCAGCCCGGTCAGGAAAGTCCATGAGATTGGTATCACCAATAAACTACTAAGAAAAAGCTAGAAGTGGTTCTGTGGCTCAAGTGGTAGAGTGCTAGCCTTGAGCAAAAGCAGCTCAGGAACAGCGCCCAGGCCCTGAGTTCAATCTCCATGCCTGACCAAAAAAACTACCCCAAAACAAAAAGGGCAATCAGGAACACCTAGGTCAGCTACCACCACACAGAGGAGGGGACCATAGTGACAACGGACCTGCACGGGGGCCACAGACAAAGCAAAAACCCAACATCCCTGACTGCAGGGCACAGCTGCTTCTCCCTCAGCCAGCGGCTGCACAGCAGGCGTGCTGAGCCCTGAAGGAGCTACCCAGGGTTGCGGGAACAGATCCCCAACACCCGCCCCCACCATGCAAGCACTGCAACCCCACAAGGAGAGCAGAAGGCACATGGCAGCACCGAGGGACCCGGGGAGAGGCTCACGTGAAGAGGCTCTCGATGAGGCGGAGGTTGGTGACGGCCTCGATGATCAGGTTGCGGCGCTTCAGCAGGCGGTAGGTCTTGTGGGAGTTGTCCTGGCCCCCGCCGTGCCTGCCGCTCTTCTGGGAACTGCTGATCTCCTGCAGGAGTCAGAGGCAGGGGTGGGGGGCTCAGCCAGGCTCGGGGACCACCCACCCAAGGGGTGTGCTCCCCTCCTGTTCAAGAAGCCAGGTCAGCAGTGGATAGGATCCCGTCCGCCCAGCCCTTTTCTGGGCTCTCAGGTGAGGTGGGGCCAGCAGCTGTCCCTGTGGATGGGAGACCAGCACCCTCAAGCTTCCTAATTCTGCTCTCATCTCCCAGCAAGCCCCGGCTTGCTGGCCAGGGCAACAGGGCCTGGGGAGAGGGGGAGGGGGAAGGGGGAGGAGTCCAGGTTGGGTTCCCTGGGGGCACAAGTCTGCGGCCCAGTGGAGGTGGAAGGACCTGTGACCTCTGCCCAGAAGCCCATGGCCCCTAAATGCCTCCTTCCTGTCCTCAGGAGCTCAACCCTGTGCCATCTGCCCCCAGTGAGACCCGAATGGAAAGGAGAGTCTGATTGGCAGGAACTCCGAGCAGCTTGCTAGCACAGCCAGCCGCCCGGGGCACTTCTGCCCACGGGAGGCACTCTGGGAAAATGACAACTCCTCAGGGGCTACAGCTCTCTTTTGGGGCTGTGGGGCCTCAACACAGGGGTCATTGCAGCAGGGGCCGAGCTCTATGCTAGGCACCCAGGGTCATGACCCCTGTACCAGGAAAGGCTCTCCTGTGCAAAGTGGCTCACGTGGCAGGGCTGCTTTGCCTACATGTCACTGGACATTCGATAGTGTCTGAACAGAACGAACTGTTTCCTGCTTATATACATGTAATTTTATATGTTTATAATGGCCTTGCACTTGAAGCAGGTTTCTTTCTTTTTCTGTGGTGTAGGGCTTGAACTCAGGGCCTGGACACTTTCCCTGAGTCTCTCTGTGCTCAAGACTAGGGGTCTACCACTTAAGCCACAGCACCACTTCCAGTTTTTGAGTGGTTAACTGGAGATAAAACTCTCATGATGAAGCCGGGTGCCGGTGGGTCACGCCTGTAATCCTAGCTACTCAGGAGGCTGAAATCTGAGGATCGCGGTTCAAAGCCAGCTTGGGCAGGAAAGACTGTGAAACTCCTATCTCCAATAAACCACCAGAAAACCAGAAGTTGCACTGTAGCTCAAGTGGTAGAGCGCTAGCATTGAGCTGAAGAGCTGAGGGACAGCGCCCAGGCCCAGAGTTCAAGCTCTATGACTGACAAAAAAAAAAAAAAAAATCTCATGGCGACTTTTCTACCTGGGCTGGCTTTGAACTGCGAACCTCAGCTCTCAGCCTCCTGAGTAGCTTGAATTAAAAGTGTGAGGCACCAACGCCTGGCTGAAGCAGGTTCCTAACCCTGGCAGAGCTGACATCCTCAGCCAGATGGCTCACTACTGGGAGATGTTTAACAGCACCCTGGGGGCACGGTGACGCACACCACCTGGCGGGGCTGAGGCATGAGGATGGCTTGAGCTCAGGAGTTCAAGGCCAGCCTGAGCAACATAGCGAGATCTTGCCTCAGTGTCCTGCTCTGTATCCGCTCAACACCCTTGTAGAACCTCCCTCAGCAGGGACCATCAAAATCGAGGAGGGAGGAGGAGGGGCACGTCAGCAATCTATGCACCACGGCCACTCTGGAAAAGGAGTGTGCGAGCAATGAGTGGGTGTTGGGAGACCAGGGCCAATCTGTGCAGGGTTCGGGCAGGGCAGGGGAGGCTTGGGACTGTCTGCTGCCGGGCATGGAGTAGGCACGTGGGGCCTGAACTCGGGGCCTGGGCGCTGTCCCTCAGCTCTTCAGCACAAGACCAAGCGCTCTACCACTTGAGCCACAGCGCCACTTCCAGCTTTTTCTGCTTATGGGGTGCTGAGGAATGGAACCCAGGGCCTCAGGCATGCGAGGCGAGCGCTCTACCACTGAGCCACCTTCCCAGCCCCCCGGCACTCTTATTACTGGCTGCCACTGTCCTCGTGGCCCTCGCATCCGCTCCCCATGACCACTGACCTTATCTAGCCGGACCTCCTCGATCACGGCGATGTCCCCGCCATTGCTCTCCACGCAGTGAGAGCCGAAGGACACGAGGTCCGAGGAGCTGCTGGTGTCCCCGAGGCCGTCTCTGGCCCCCTTCTCCTCAGCTGCCCCCAGGGAAGAAGATGGCTGGGCCTTCATCGCGTTCATGTTTCCGGCCTTCCATCCACCTGTGAGGAGGGCAAATCGGAGGAGGGGGAGAGTACATACACCTCCCGGCAAGGCCAGCCCCAACAACCCACGCTTTCTAAATGCAAACCCTGAAGCAGATCGCTAGTCATCTAGGGGACAGAGGGAGCTCACGCAAGTTCCTTCAACACACGGCACTGGCAGGGAGGATGGGGATCGCAGGACCAGGCTCTCCACAGCTCCCCTATAGGATGCGGGTCGGGCCCGGGGGTCCCCACGCGCATGCCCGCGCCCTACCTTTGCCTGGTGTGGAGTGGTGGGGCTGAGAGCCAGGCCCCGCGTCCGCGGACGCCCTGGCCTGGCCCCGGGGCGCGCGGCCCTTGCGCTTGGTGGTGTGGCGCTCCTCCTCGCTGTCCGACTCGGAGAGGAAGGCGTCCTCTCCTTCGGGCTCGGGCAGCAGCGCGTCCTCCAGCACCGAGGCCAGGCTCACCGTGGTGAGCAGCTCGCCGCGGGCCTTCTCCCGCGCGTACTGGCGGCTCAGGTCACTCTCCTCAGCGAACGCGCACGTGATGTACTTGGTGGTCCGCTGCCGGCCCTCATCTTCCATGAAGCCCTGGCGGGGGGAGGCAGTGGGGGAGGAATGTTCAACACCCTCAAGGCTGGTGGCCCTCTTCCTGCCAGGATACTTTCCTCAACTGTGACCTTGAGTATGTGTGCTAAGGCCGCCAGGACCTTGCAGCGGGCCCGGCTCGGACATCCCTGGAGCATCCTGGGAGGCAAGGCTGGGAGGCAGGGCCCAGCTTCGCCTTCCATGGGGCTTCCAGGCCTGTGCGAGGCTGGGCAGCAACAGGAAGCAGCCAGCGTTGGTCACCCAGGGCCTGGCACCAGTGCTCCACCATCGCCACGGAGACTGGGGCTCAGTTACGACCAACCCAGGGACGGTGCCAAGTGCCTGCTGTCATTGGGTCAACTATGATCCCGCCTTCCCACAAAACGTCCAAAACGCACACCAGGAGTGGGTGCGGCCTGCTGAGGTTTGCATGCCTGGCCCCAGAAGGTCCAGGTGGCAGAGGTGAGCTCCCCAGGGTGTCAGCACCTTGAGGTGTGGCCTAGTGGGAGGGGCTGAGGTCCCCGTGGTGCGTGTTCTTTCACGGGGACTCCGGGACTGATCACCTCCCCTCTCCCCTTCCTGGCTCGTGATGTAAGGGGCCGTTTGCTCCGCCATGTGCTCCCCTAACCAGGGGCCCAAAGCAATGCGGGCTACTCTATCATGGAGTAGAACCTCAGGATTTCATTATGGTTGCGAAAAGCTAACACAACCATCAGGGCTGAGATGGCGAAGGGCGCACCAGGCACACCACATTGCTAGGGAGTGTCTATGTGCCAGGCAATCACGTGAGAGGGTCAGCCGACTGCTCCCCCACGAGGGTGACTTCTGACTTCTCACTGCTAAGAACTCCACTTCTTTTTTGGTTTTCTTTTGGCTAGTCCTGGGGCTTGAACTCAGGGCCTGGGCACTGTCCGAGCTCTTTCACTCAAGGCTAGCACTCTAGCACTTGTGCCACAGCAACATTTCCGGCTTTTTGGGTAGTTTATCAGTAGTTATTGGGTCTCACAGACTTTCCTGCCAGGATTGGCTTTGAACTGCGATCCTCAGATCTCAGCCTCCTGAGTAGCTAGAATTGCAGGTGTGAGCCATCAGCATCCGGCAGTGAGTGGCGACAGCACAGGCAGGCAGCCGCGGTTTGCCTCTGGTACAAAGGGGAAGGCTCGGGACGTTACCTTGACAACCTTGAACCTCTGAAGAAGCCGACACAGCATTCTGGCTTCCAGCTTCCCCACGTTCATGGCCACTCGGATCTCAGCCTGGGAAATTCCTTTCGTGCCTCTGCGCTCAACTGGGAGGAACAACACACTTGAGCCCCACCCAGTCGGGCCCAGGCCCCTGCCCCCTGCCTACCAGGCCTCTCTCCTCCTCACTGTTTGGTCTCCATGCTCCTACCTAGGTGAGGTACCAGTGACCACCCACCCATGACTAGCACTTCATCATGCATGGGAAGATGACTTTCCCATCTGTTTTCCACACACATCAAGATAACACCCTCCCCCCCCCCCCCCCCCCCCCCCCCGCTTTTCTTTCTTCTTTTATTGTTCTCATGGGGATTGAATGTAGGGCCTGGGTGCTATCCCTGAGCTCTTTTGCTCAAGGCTAGTGCTCTACCACGTTGGGCCATAGCTCCACTTCTGGTTTTGGGGTGGTGAACTGGAGATACGAGTCTCTGGACTTTCTGGGCTGGCTTTGAACTGCGATCCTCAGATCTCAGTCTCCTCAGTAGCTAGGATTACAGGCGTGAGCCACTGGCACCCAGCAAAAGTGACCCTTTTAAAAAGAATCAAAATAATTAGCTGAGAAACTTGTTCTGGAGACGCGATCCTTGTGCGTTGGCCTTCCCTGCACAGGTGTGCACTCTCCACGTGCCCGTGTGGATAGGCACTGGGGCTCCAGACACTGTCCTGCCCCATGAGCAGAGACGAGGAAGGAAATGGATGCCAGTCAGCTTCAGGGAAGGACTGGCGGGTGCCTTGCTGCCATCACTTTGAGTGGCATGGCCCCGTTGTTTCTCGCTGCTGTCGTCCCAACTACTTCTAAGGGACAAAGCCATTCACCTCACCATTCACCTCACCTAGGCAGGAACTCTAGGAGACCTGAGATGGCTCCCCAGTGGAGTTTGACTCCTGGACATAGGGCTGCTGGGAGCTCTGAGATAAGGGTAGAGTTCTTACTCTCAGAGAGGATTAGTTACTTCGAGAGCAGGTTTTGCCACGCCCTCGGATGCCCTTTGTGTGGCCACTTTTCCATGTGTTGGCTGCCCTCCTGCTTTTCCTCCACCAAGTGGCACAAGACAAGGCTGTGATCAGAAGCCAGTGCCAGCACCCAACCTAAGCCTCTAGAACGGCAAGTCCAGATAAACTCATTGCCAGGCGTCTGTGGCTCACACCTGTAATACTAGCCACTCAGGAGGCTGAGAGCTGAGGGTCACAGTTCAAAATCAGCTGGGGCAGAAAAATCCACAAAACTGTCTTCAAATAACTACTAAACAGCCAGAAGTGGAGCTGTGGCTCAAAGTGGTAGAGTATTAGCCCTGAGCACAAAAGCTCAAGGAGAGTGCTCAGGACCCAAGGTTCAAGCCCCAGGACCAGCACAAACATCTTTTCTTTATAAATTACTCAGTTTCAGGCACTTTGTTGAAGTACCAGAACATGGGCTAGGACAAACAGTTAGTCTTCTGGGTGCTTTCTACACACTAGGCACTGCTCTAGACATTTTAGTCTCCTATTGTTTGTGCTCACAATGTGCTAGCGTGGCTAATTGCAGATGTACACTTGGGCGAATTAGGGATAGCTGGTCAAGCACTATTTCTCTCCTGGGAGCTAGGATTACAGGAGTGAGCCACTGGCACCCAGCAAAAGTGTGGTGACTCAGCCCTGCCTGTACAGGATATGGAAGGACATGAAAGGCATCCCCTACTAAACCCCTTCACATGGGCGCCTCTCTAGGCACTTATGCTTCCCACCTGTCTAAGAACCTCTAAGAATACGCCCGCTTTACAGATGAGAGACCTTGCTAAAGTTACCCGGCCAAGGTGGCCACGGGCCAGTCCCAAAGCCAAAGCCCCTGGAAGGCAGTGGCCTTGGGAGTGGTGTTGCGTTCCCAGGCCACACGCTCAGGACTCACTGAGCTCGTAGGTCTGTGTGAGCATGTCCCGCTCAAACACGATGTCCACCGGGGGCACGCCCTTGGAGATGACCTCCTCGTCATCGTCGTCATCGTGGTCATCGTCCACCTTCCGCTTGAACTCCTTCCGCAGCCTGAGACACCGCACCATGACGTCCGTCCCTGGGAACACAGCACGTTGGTTGTGGCGTAGGGAAATGGCCAGCGGTGAGGGGCAGGAACGGCCCTGGAAGATCCCAGCCTAAGCCTCCCCGCCCTCCCTCTCCCTCCCGCAAGGTTCACAAACCTGAGAGCTTACTCCACCGGGGCACTTTTTGGTAACAAAGTGGGTAAATAAAGATGTGGAAAATGAGCAGGGAGCTGATGGCTCACATTCATAATCCCAGCTACTCAGGAAGCTGACATCTGAGAATTGCGATTCAAAGCCAGCCTGGGCAGGAAAGTCCATGAGACTCCTATCTCCAGTTAACCAGCAAAAACCCTGAGGTAGTATTAACCTTAAGTGAAATGCCAGTGAAAAGTGAGAGTTGTAAGGTCCTGAGTTCAAGTCCCAGTGCTGGCATTCAAAATAGAAGAACACAACAAGGAAGGTGGACAGAAGGAGAGAGGAAGTGGCCCCCTAGGGGACCTTCCTGCAGAGAGCAGCTATGGGTCAGGACCTGTCCCTCCTCACCTGGCTGTCCCCAAGCCAGCAGGGGGCACTCAAGAGTGGCACTGGCAGAACTGGCTGACTCCCGACAAGGGGGAAGGAGGAGCAGCACCGATCCCCTACTCCAACCCTTCTAGTACATTCTGGGACCATTGGAGTGATCCTGAATGGGATTTTGTCTCATAAAAATAACTAGAAGAGCCAAAGGCCGCCAGGGCTGAGGGGCCCCTGATGGCGCTTTTATGGCAGAAGCTCAATGACTGACAGAGATCAGCAACGAGGGCCTAGGCAGTGACACTTAACCAGCTCATGAGCGGCAGTGGAAGGCACTCAGGAGGGCAGGGCAGGGCTGTTCCGTGGAATGCTGAGACATTCTCCGTCCCACAGCACCACGGGAAGCAGAGCAATGTCCTCCACCCCCCAGTAGTGACCACACTATCTAGGTGGCATCTAAGTGACTTTGCAGGCATGCTTAAGTTAGGGATTTGTGGGTCCTGCTCCAGCGTGAAGGGCTGCGAAGTGAGGAGGTGGTTCTGGCTGGCCAGGGAGGCCCAGTCCTTACGGGCGGGAGATTCAGAGTCTGGGTGGCACCTACAAGCCTGAAGGTAGAGGTGAGACAGAACCACAGTTGAGGGAGTCCTGCAGCTTCCAGAATCAGGAAGATGCTGGGGAACAACCCCCCAGGGCTGGGGTCTGTTCTGAGGCTGTGGGCCAGAACCCAGAAAACCTCACAGCCTGAGGCAGGCGGGCCCCCCCCCCCCGCGAGCCACGCTCTCAACTTGTGGATGTTGAGGGACAGACTCGCTTGGGTGCGTGGTGAGTGACCGAACTGTGCACGGGCAGAGCTAGCACTGAGCCAGGAAGGCAGTGAGGTACTGGGGCATTGAACTCAGGACCTTGAACTCCCTTCGGCTTGCCTGCTCCAACCCAAAACTGCTTGCTAGCTGGTTGGAGATGGGGGTCTCGTGGATTTTTCTGCCCGGGATGGATTTACAGCGTAATCCTCCAGGTCTCACCAACCTGAGTAGCTGGGATGACAGGAGTGAGCTGCCGGCCCTGGCCCGTGACAGCCACTCTTAGCAGTCCCAGCACCGGGGAGGCGTCATGATAGGCTAGCCCGCTGCTCTGCACGGGCAGTGCTGGGCTGGACTTCCCAGGCAGCCCGGAGGCTCGGCCTAGGGAGGCAGCGCTGCTTCCGGAGGACAGAGCACCTTCGCCAAGGACTGGGCCGTGTTAGGAGCCGTGTAGTTCTGTCTGTGGCTCACAGCACAGCCCATTTCTCTACCATGCACCCGGCCAGCCATGCCACAGTCCTAGCCTCGGGATTCAGATTTCCAGGGCTCAGTGGGACGCCACTGGCCCACGGTGCTGGGGGCCCTGGGCCCATCACCAAGCAAGGCCCCCAGAAGAAAACAAAAGAAAGTGCGCTTAGGTGGTTTTTGAGGGGCCTGGCGAGGGAATTTCAGAGCAGGGCAGGAATGGGGAAGAGCGTGGGCTCTGGAATCCACTATCTAACCCTGGCTGGATGATGTCTGCTCTCTGTGACTCCGTTTCCTTCCACCAGCCTCAGCGATCACCTAGACTGTCCGCCATTGAACAGTGGTCAATTAACACTTGCTACTGTATCTACCATCACTACCATTCCCATGACAACTAGAAAAACACAGCTGAGGATCAAATGTCAAACCCTGTCAACAGGGCTGAAAAGGTCGCCCGATTGCTTGGGGACTCCAGATCCATTCGATTCCACATTTATTCTGGACCTCAGAAAGCTGCCTGGTCGAGTCGGGAGGAACTGGCACAGCCATGGGCCTGGTTTTCATGCCAGCCTGGGTTTGAGCTGTGGCTCCACCAAAGGGAGACGCTCCCTTCCTCCCTGAGCCTCAGCCCTGGCACTGCTAACCCTGGAAGACACGGAGGGCTCTGCGAACATCCACACCCCGATACATGCCACCGGCTCCACTCCCAGCATGCACTGGACCCAAGCTGGTGCTGGGGGAGGGAGAAGGGAGTGGCAATTTGCCTGGATGGGCAAGGACACACGCAGGAGGCACATTAGGAAGACGAGGACAGGCATGCCAGGCTGAGTGAAGGCAGAGCATGGAACGGGACAGGGCCTGGAGAAGGGGGCAGCGGAGTGCAGGTCTGTCCAGGCAGAGCACGCTGTAGTTGGATTTTTGGACAAAGCTGTGCCTGCAGTGAATATGGAGAACGGCTAGGCAGGAAGAGGGGATGCTGGCACCCCAGGATCTGTCCTCAGCTGCCTTTCTCCGTCCCTTGCTCAGGCCCCAGGTGCTAGCAACCCCTGCCTTTTCTCCTAGTCGGCCCAGACAGCAGTCTGCAGCAGCGACTCAGATTCCGCACCACATGACTGGCTCTGCAACCTCAGACGAGACTGAGGCCCAGTCTCCTAGCAGACAAATGTGGGGGGGGGGGGGGGGGGGGGAGGAAAAGGAATGCTAAGTTTTTAACCTTCCCCTCCCCCAAGGCTAGCCACAAGTGGGAAAATAACAGGGTATCAGCTTGCCTGGTCCTTGCCTCTTTAGTTGTCTTAGGACAAGCCCAGGGGGGGTTGGAAGTCAGGAAGTCATATGACATAGGTTAGGAAACCTGTGTGCTGCTCCTGGTCGAAGAGTTCCCAAATCTCATTAAACACCCAGCGCAGATGGCGGCCTCCATACCCCGCGCACATGCAGCAGGCTGAGGCTGGCCGGCCTCCACTCCTGCTCCCCAGCTGGTCCCCTGGTGTGGATGTCCCACGGTCACCAAGCAGTTGGTGAGCAAAGCCCTAGAAAGGGGCTGAGAGGAAGTCCCCTGCCCTCCTCCCCCAGCGCAGGCTCAGACACCGGCCCCAAATGGCGTCCGCCCCAAGCGGGGTTCTTGGGAGCCTTCACCCCACAAAGGCACTCTTGCACAGCCCAGCCTGGATGGACTTCGGATGAGTATGCTTCCTGAGGGAGGCCGTTGGGGCGCTGCCTAAGGGGAAGCTGTACCCGAGGGAAAAGAATTGTTCCAGAAAATACAGGAGCCTCCTCTAGAGTGGCTCCTGCCCCTAGAGAAGTTTCTCCAGTGCAGGAATTTACACTCCGGTAAATCTGACCCCCGCTTCTGAGATCTAAGTTTTGCTCATAGCAGTCTTGCTATATTAAAATGTCCTTGCTTCTTTTACTCATGTGGCTTAGTTATTAACAATCGTGATTGCTTTTCATTTTTATGTGGTACCCTTTAATCAGTTTTGCGTACTTTTAACTGTTTCAATAACTTTCCCCGTGCTGTTAATTTTCCACACTATTAAAATTTCTCACAATCTTGTTCTATTCTATGTTTACATTTGCCCTTAGTTTTTGTTTCCCTGGCTTCGTTCTTTAATTGCAGTTGCTTGGTTCTGAAGCTCTGACACCTTTGATTGTATTGCAGATGGCTGCTTTTACTATGGCTCATTTCTCTTTGCTCAGTTTATATACTTTAATCTGACTGCAATTGAATAAATATTGTCTTTTGCTATTTTAATGATCAGAAATTAGTTTTCTGCACTGTTTTGTCTCCTGGTTCAGTTTTTTTTTTCCCCAAAACTTAAACTTGAGGTTTAATTAACCTATCACACCATTCACACATTAAGTGTATAGGTGTCAGGAATCTTAGTGTGTTCACAGGCCTGGGGGCCTAATACCCCTCCCCAGTACTTGGACTCAGCTTAGATTTATTTCTTTAGCCAACCTGGCCAGGGCCTGCAAGTACAGACATCAGGATTGGCCTTGTGGGCCTCCTGTGAGCAACCTTGTGTGTGAGTTTGTTCCAGGCCCTCAATTCTGTTGTGGGCCAGTGCTCTTGCGAGCTCTCCTCCTCTGCTCTTTTCTCCAGATTGTTTTGGCTCCCTGGCAATTCCTTCCAAGTTTAGGACTGGTGTCAATTTACCCCATGTTGGCTGGAAATCAGACACCACTGTGAAATCAGACTAGTCTGGGGAAGAGTATTACCTTAATAATGTGAAGTCTCTCAATCCAGGCATGTGTGATACTCTCCCATTCATTTAATCTAAAACCTCTCTGGGCAGAGGTTTACATTTTCAAAGTATAGTTTGCACTTTTCTGTTAATTGTATTCCCCAGTTGCCATAAACAGAAATGCTTTCTCAATTTGATCTTCAGATTATTACCAATATATAGAAATTCAGGTTGATTTTGGTGTTTTTTACGTATAGATCCTATGTCCTACAATCTTGCTGCATCTGTCCTTCCCCCCTTGCGCCCAGTACTGGGGCTTGAACTCAGGGACAGGGTGTGGTCCTTCCTTCCTTCCTCTTTTTGTTTTGTTTTTCTTTATTTTATGGTTTTTTTTTAATTGTAAAAATACTGTACAGAGGGGTTACAGTTCCATGAGTAATGAGTACATTTCCTATTGAGCATTATTACCTCCTCCTTTGTTTTTCCCCTACCATACCTTCCTTTCCCACCCTTCCAACTACTCCCACCCCCCCCCCTTTTTTTTTTTTACAAGTCCTAAGGCTGGGTACTGTCCCTGAGCTTTATTTGCTCAAGGTCAGCACTCTACTACTTGAGCCACATCTCTACTTTAGCTTTTTGGTGATTAAATGGAGATAAGAATCTCAAGGACTTTCCTTCCTTGGGTTGGTTTCAAGGCTGGCTTCAAACTGTGATCCTCAGATCTCAGCTTCCTGAGTAGTCAGGATTATAGGCATGAGCTACCAGCACCTGGCTGTCCCTTAAGTTTTTTGCTCAAGGCTGGTGCTCTACCAATTGAGACACATCTCCACTTCAGGTTTTCTGCAAGTTAATTGGAAGTAAAAGTCTCATGGATTTAGCTGTCTGGGCTGGCTTCTGACAGGAGCTCAGCCTCCTAAGTAGCTAGGATTATAGGTAGGAGCCACTGGCAGTTAGCTTGTTTATCTCTGAAGGGCTGTTGGGTATAGGAGGGGTCCCTCACTCACCCCCCCCCATGCCATTCAGTGCTGAATACACCCTGACACACTGAACTAGCAACTCCACTGGCATGCGTCAGCAGTGAAGGAGTTGGGAGAGGCTAACAGTTTGCCTCCCATCTCTTCATTCTTTGTCTCAGAACAATTTAATAAATGCAGGATGGCTGGTAAACACTGAAAAAAAAAATCACTCAAATTTGTAAAACAGTGCAATCCAGGGCATCTGAACAAGATACTAAGGGTTATTTTGCTTTTTCCTAAATAGGTCACTGCGGCTTTCTGTGCAGTGAAATATGCATGTAAAATAGACCTTACATACAAACTGGAATTCCTACACACCCAGGGACACCTGTGAATTCACACAGAGTAACGCAGCAGCCGCTGCGTTATCTACACCTTCTCTGGTCCATGGCGCCTTGGCTTAGAGGGAAGATGTTAACATTAATTTCACAAAGTATAGAAGGCACAGCACCCCTAGTCTGCACAAGTAAAGGAACAAATTGGCCTGGGTTAACTGATTCCCTAAACAGGTAGGTACTCAGCACCCACTCAGTTCTAAACACTAAGAATATCATAAGCAGGGGGCGTGGCCAAAGCTCAAGGAGCTCCTGACCTAGCAGGTCAAGGCACGTGACTGAGACAGAAAACACTTCAGGAAAGGAGGGAAGGGGTGGCGCCCTGGGTTTGAGCCTAAGCAGGACAGGGGGGGAAAGGATGAGTGTGTAGTGCAGGGGCCATGGCAGGAAAGAGAGAAGATGTGGTTCTTATGACCAAACTGGGGGGGGGGGGGGGGGCCTCAGCATGCACAGGTATGACATGTAACTTAAATGTCCTGAGTGGTCTGGGGGTGCCTGCCTCTTCACCCCATGCAGGAGCCAAAGCCACCACTCTATGAGCCTTCTTCCAGGAAGTCCCATCTTCCCAACCCCAGGCAAGGTGCACAGATGAACTCCTGCCCAGCTGGCCGCTACTCAAGGACACACATCACTGTCGCCTACTTTGACTTTTACACCTGGACAGAAAGTCAGACTCCAGTGAAAATGACTGATTTTTTTAAAGTGCCAGCAACGAATTCAGCAATAGCATGCTGTGAACCAAACAAACCACAGAGCTACACTTGGCCTGCACGTCCTCATTTGTGGCTGCTCAGAAGCCAGGAAGGCATCTGAGGGGTAGAGCCCCCCACCCCGGGCCTGGGAAGTGACGGTGCTAGAATTCTAGGTCAGGACCTCCTGGCTCCAGGTCCACCAGGAGTCAGCTGTCAGTTTCAAGCCATTCGTTTGGGGGAAGGGGCTTCTTATCTGGCTGGGCACCGTAGGAGGGGGACCAATTGCTCCCCCAGAAGACTGTTACCCACTCTTCTGGCCTCAAAGCCCCCCCCGATACTCTTGACTCAGTGATACCCCAACTCCCCAGTTTGAATTTGGAGGTGTTGGTTCTTGGCCCTCACCTCTCACATCTGGCCTTCCTGGTCTGCTTAGTCCACAGCCATCTGTCTGTCTGCTCTGAGCACCCCCAGGTTGCCAACGGCCCTCTGCTCTCATTTCCTGTCCCCTCTGTGTACCTCATCTCCGATCTCCAGGCAGAATGGAGAAAAAGACGTGCTGTCTACTGAACTGTACTCACGGGGCTGTGACTCTCGGCTGTTAAAAATGGTTTTGGTTAATCAGGGAAGACAACTAGGAAAAACCGGGGGAGAAAAATCTAGGACTAGGGATGGATTTGAAATTATAGCCTGTTGTCTAAAGTTGCTAGTGGACCCCGATGCTCCCTCTGCACACACCAGCTGCTCGCTGGTAACACGAGTTACTCTGCACCTTTTAACTTCAATTCGCTCATGTGTGAAACACCAACAACCATATCCCTGGCTTGTCTGGTTACCAGAGGAGATCCTGTGGCATAAAATACACACGCTTGTGCATTGCCCAGGAGATTCTAGCGAAGGTGGGTGCAGACACCAGGGTTCTCATAGAGCCAGAAACACCCTGTGTTAGGGTACCCTGTCCTGGGAGCACCATAGCACAGTTCTCCCACATCTCCAACACACCTACGGTGTGCCCAGGCATATAACGTTTACACAGTGCACAACACCTGATCGTGGCAAACAATGAGTTACTGGTTAATGCACCTGCTACACGTTTATGCTCATTTCAGGCGCTGTTCCTTCTAGGTACATAAAGTGTGCTGTCCTCAGGGTGTCCTGGTAACCCACGACAGCTCGCCTGTGTTTACAGCATCCCAGGCTGCACCACAAGGCCACATGATCGACCTTCATCATCTGGCTCTGCATGGTGGTTATACCTTTGTGCGCGTGACACACTAATGTGCTGACCGAGGCAGATGGTGGCTTGGTGGAAGGGGGGAGGTTTGAGATGCTGGTTTGAGTCACACACAGGGATGTTGACAGGTAATGACAGAAGGTCCCTAGCCAGACCCTGAGTGTAGAGATGAGAAAGTGTGTGCAAGGCCCAGCCCGACGGAAGAGGAGACAAGGGGAAACCACTGGCCCACGTTGGGGGGGGGGGGGGGGCGAGGCTCTGTCTTTACCTTTTTTGGTCTTACACGGTCCACATTCAGGGTGAATCTCCTGTAAGGGCAAAGACACCACCTTGGCCAGCCCAGCATTCAGCATGTACTGGTAGAGACGTTTAAATGTCCTTTCACACAGCCCCTGCCAAGACACAAGGTAACAGCCACCATCAAGCAGGCTGGGAAATTGAAAGCCAAGGGAGCACAGGCTCAGGGCCTGAATCTGTTGAGGAAACACAAGGTGTTAGGAGCAAAGATGGCCATGCTATGTTGTCAGGGACACAGAACAAGAGCCAGACCAGGCCAGGTGCTGGTGGCTCACACCTGTAATCCTAGCTACTCAAGAGGCTGAGATCTAAGAATCACGGTTCAATGCCAGCCGCAGCAGGAAAATCTGTGAGATTCTTTTTTTTTTTTTTTGTCTGCCGTGGAATCTTAACTTTGGGCCTGGGCGCTGTCCCTCAGCTCTTCAGCTCAAGGCTAGCTCTCTACCACTTGAGCCACAGCACCACTTCTGGCTTTTTCTGTTTATATGATACTGAGGCATTGAACCCAGGGCCTCATGCATGCAAGGCAAGCCACCTTCCCAGCCCATCTGTGAGATTCTTATCTTCAATTAACCATCAGAAGACCACAAGAGGAGCTATATCTCAAAGTGATAGAGTGCTAGCCTTGAATCAAAGAGCTCAGGGACACAGCCCAGGCCTTGAGTTCAATCCCACAAATCACACACCCAAAAAATCCAGACCAACATAGAAATAACCCTGCCTTTTTCTTTTCCTGGTATTGGGATTTGAACTCAGGGCCTGTCCCTTGACTGGGCAAATGCTCTACCACTTAAGCCACATCTCCAACTGCTTTTGCTTGAGCCTGGCCTTGGACTATGATCCTCCTACTTTGCTTCCTACATAGCTAGGATCACAGGCTCAGACCACCAAGGTCTCATCAACTTTTTGCCTGGGCTGGCCTTGAACCACAATCCATTCACTATCTCGACTCCTGAGTTAGCTGGAATTATAGGCATTATACCTAAATGAAATCATCCTGGCTATTGATTATATGAGGGGGAAAGAGACCCTTAAAGTATATATAGGGTGGGTTGAGGAAAGTAAGAGAGCAAGATGTTTTACCAGAGACCTCTTATATTGTTTTTTAACTGTGACATGAATTATTAAAAACAGATACACAGGGCTGGGAAGGTGGCTCAGTGGCAGAGCGCTTGCCTTGCATGCCTGAGGCCTTGGGTTCCATTCCTCAGCACCACATAAGCAAAAAGAAAAAAGCTGGAAGTGGCGCTATGGCTCAAGTGGTAGAGCTCTAGCCTTGAGCTGAAGAGCTGAGGGACAGCGCCCAGGCCCAGAGTTCAGGCCCCATGACCGGACCCCAAAATAAATAAAAAAATAAAAAATAAAAAAATAAAAATAAAAACACACATACACAACATACATTCTGAGTCACTCCAACCATTGCAGCCCAGGTAAGTCAAAAAGGGCTAAATTTGGGCCAAATGGTAGGTAGGTCTGCATATGGCTGCTCTTAATATGGCTCATTTCTCTTTGCTCAGTTTATATACTTAAATCTGACTGCAACTTAATAAATATCCACTTTTGCTATTTTAATGATCATAAATTAGTTTGCTGCACTGTTTTGTATCCTGGTATCTGACAGGCACTAGTACAGACAGGAACAAAAGATTTTTAAAATCACTGATAAACTTGTTTAGAATGTAGTGCAGAAAGAATGCATGTTATCATTCCACTTCTGCCAGGCTGACGTAGCCAAGGCCCTGTGGATGTCCTTGCTGCGGGGCCACCAGAAGGCAGCCTCCATGGCTCACAGGTGACCTTTCTAAAGGAACTTCCTTGCTGCCAGTGAAAAGAACACATTTTCCTGCAAAGAGAAACCAGACCCTGGCCCCTAAACCATGCTGGTCTAACCACCAGCACTGTGGGGAAGGCAGCTGCTCTGGGCACCAGGCAGCAGACAGAAGACCACGCCCCTGCAGTGGGGGGGTGGGGGAGGGGGGTCACCCCAGGCACCTATTCCTCCAAGCTTCCTGCCACACCCCTGGCTACAAAGCTGCAGGAAGCGGCAAGCCTGGTTCTGGCCCTGGAGTAAGTATACTGCTCAGTCTGCAAGGTCTGTCCTCACACTGGGGGAGAGACAGCAGCCAGCGGCTCTGGGCTGTCGCTGGCACCCATCTGTGATCAGTGCTCGATGGGCTGGCACTCTTGCTGCTGGGCAGCAGAACATATGGATATCCAAAAATACAGATGAGTCCCAGATGGCTCATTGGAACCACCGGCTTGCACATGGCACCTACAGTTAATCTAGCTGTGCCCCCAGCACCAGGGAAAGCCCTGTGGACGCCCATCCATTACACCCAGCCCTACGCAGATGGCACCAGACCTGGCCCATCACAGGCACCTGTAGCTTCTCTGCGCACACACCATGGGCACTGTCGAGACAGTGGTGCCCAGCTCCTCAGCCCAGCCCCACCTTCCTTCCTGGCTGTACTGCCACTGCTGCCATGTCCCCACTGCTCTCAGCTCACCCAGTGACGGTGACTGTGGGACCTGCCCCCCCCCCCCGCCCCCCAGTTCTGTCACCTTCCTGCAGAACACAGTTCTAACTTAATCAGAACCCACCGCACCATCTGCTGAATGAATAAACGGAATAGTGGCCTTGGAGCATACACAATCCATATGGCTGATCAAAGCGCAGGCTGGCCCTGACCCGGGGCCCCAGCCCCGGCCCTGCCCCAAAGGACTCTGCAAAGCAGAAGCCTGATCTTCCAAAATCCACATGGACCACACAAAGCACAGACATGCAAAAGGGGCCACAAGTTTCTGCATTTCTACTCAGACCTCTAGAGAGTTTACCTTCCATTTTCCACATTCAATAGAGACTGAGACACGGGAGACACACTCTCCTACCCAAACAGCAGGGAGAGCACAGGGATGAGCAGGGCACTGACTCTGCTCACTGTCTGAGACCAGAAGTGGGAGTGGAGAGGGCTGCTCAGTGTGCAAGAAATACAGCTAACTGTTACCATGTGGGACTGCAGGACCAGGCCTGGGGCCTGGGGCCTCTGACTTCAGGGGGAGCTGAGAGTCCAGATCTCCACAGGCCATCTCTGTATAGGGAATGTCTGAATGACCAGGAAAACACTGACCAATGCCACACCAAAATCTGCTCCTCCCCCCAGCTAAGAAGATGGAGACTACCACTCCACCTGCGTGGCACAGGTGACACAAGAGGACTAGAGCCACAGACCACGTCCTTTTGGGGAACAATTACAAGCACCCAGGAAACCTGACTTCCAATTTTCAGCTGAAAGTGCTATGGCTAGCCTACAGATCTTCTGATGCTGGTTGTGCCCCAATGATCACGGAGAACTGTGTAGAGCAGTGCTGTCTACACGTCGCTCCATCACTGCCTTGGTGCTGGATTCCAGCCCGGCAGGCTGCGCCCCATGAGCATGCAACCCATACCCAGCCAGCACTCAGTTGGGGGGGGTGGGGGACAGAAGCGGAGGGGAAGGGAGGGGAAGGGCAGGTGGCTTACCAGCTCCTCCCGTAGCTTGCCCAGTGTCTCCATCTGGTTGCTGCGGGTGCTCAGCATCATGGACAGCTTCTCCATGAGAATGTCATACTTGCTCCTCCTGCAATGAGCCAGTGCAGCCAGAGTTCAGAGGACCACTAAAAAACACGTGTGTGTGTGTGTGTGTGTGTGTGTGTGCGTGCGTGCGTGCGTGCGTGCGTGCGTGCGTGCGTGCGTGTGTGTGTGTGGTTTTTGGTGGGTTGTGGGGCTTGAACTCTGGGCCTGGGCACTGTCCCTGAGTTCGACTCAAGGCTAGTACCTTTTCCACTTTGAGCCACAGCACCACTTCTGATTTTCTGGTAGTGAATTAGAAATAAGGGTTTTGCGAACTTTCCTATCTGGCATTAAACAGAGATTCTCAGATCTCAACCTCCTGAGTAGCTAGGATTACCGGTGTGAGCCACCAACTATGTGATCATTTAAGTTTTACTGGTGAAAACTCAAACAGGAGCACTGGTGGCTCACACCAGTAATCCTAGCTACTCAGGGGGCTGAGATCTGAGGATTGTAGTTCAAAACCAGCCCCAGGGAAGCCTGTGAGACTCTCATCTCTAACTAACCAAGAGAAAACCAGAAGAGAAAACAAGAAGTGGCACTGTGGCTCAAGTAATAGCCTTGAGCTTTTAGCTCAGAGACAGCATTCGGGCCCTGAGTTCAAGCCCTAGGATGGGCACAAAAAACAAAAACAAAAGATGGAATTAGAAACTTAGGATACTTGGACAGTCTTCAGTGAGGACCACAGGGCATCTGACAGTTCAGCTCGAAGATGACTTTTACTCCTAGACATCTGCAGTCAGTAGCCAGCCCATCCCTGGGTGTCCAGCATTTTCTTTGAGTTAAGCCACACCCAAGGGAATGGGTGGTGGAAACTTGACACAGAAACTGTCCTTCATCACTGCCCATCGCCTTCCATGGGGGGCTAGTGGTCAGACACAGAGGACATAGAGCTTAATCACCATCTCCCGGGGCTGCTTTTTTCTTTATTTTTGGTGGTACTGGGGATTCAGGACTTTATGCTTGCTAGGCAGGTACTATCACTTGAACCACGCCTCCAGCTTTTTTGGGGCTATTTTTGAGGCAGAGTCTCAATTCTCATATGTGCAGGATATGGTCCTGCTTATCAAGCTGGGGCATATTTTCATCATTTAAAAACAAATTCAAAACCGGGCGCCGGTGGCTCATGCCTGTAATCCTAGTTACTGAGGAGGCTGAGATCTGAGGATTGCGGTTCAAAGCCAGCCCGGGCAGGAAAAGTCCGTGAGACTCTTATCTCCAATAAACCACCAGAAAACTGGAAGTGGCACTGGGGCTCAAGCAGTAGAGTGCTCGCCTTGAGCTGAAGAGCTGAGGGACAGCACCCAAGCCAGAGTTCAAGCCCCATGACCGACAAAAAAAAAAAAATTCAAGGGGCTAGGAAGGTGGCTCAGTGGTAGACTGCTTGCCTTGCATGCATGAGGCCCTGGGTTCGATTCCTCAGCATCACATAAACAGAAAAAGCCGGAAGTGGCGCTGTGGCTCAAGTAGGAGAGTGCCAGCCTTGAGCTGAAGAGCTGAGGGACAGCGCCAAGGCCCAGAGTTCAAGACCCAGGACCAACTCAAAAACAAAAAAATTCAAGCTGGGTACTGGTGGCTCATGCCTATAATCCTAGCTACTCAGGAGGCTAAGATCTGAGGATTAAGGTTCTAAGCCAGTCTGGGCAGGAAAGTCCCAGGAGACTCTTATCTCCAATTAACCACCAGAAATGGGGAAGTGAAGCTATGACTCCAAGTGGTAGAGCCTTGAGCACGGAGAGGCTCTGGGACAGCGCCCAGGCCCTGCCCTGAGTTTAAGCCCCAGGGCGAGTGGGGGAATCCAGTCTTTTTAAAAGCTATGGTCATTTTCTAACTTGCGTTTCAGGCTGTTAGAACTTTTGCAGTGGGAAAGCAGCCCCGAGCGCTGCTCTCCGCGCCTGCCCATACCTGTCCACGTGGAACCGGTTCAGGAGGAGGAGGATGGAGTGCTGCTGGGCTCCGGTGGGCAATCGGATCACGTGCGACTGCATGGTGATCAGTCCGTTTTTGTTGAGAATTTTCCGGTGATAATGAAGCTTTCCAGCATCCACCCTGCGAGGAAGAGTGGTTGGGCCCTTCTATGCAGCTGCTCGCTGACCTCCAGCAAGGACAAGGTCTCTCACTTGGACCTAAGCCAGAGCCACACGCCTCCCACCCAGCCAGGCTGCGAGGTGTCATCGGGAGATGACAGCCTTGGAGCACAAAGCCATGCTCAGGGAAGACAAGGCAGCTGGCCCCTGTACGTGGGGCACAGGCCATGCCTCAAATTCAAAGTGGAGAAGGGTCTCCTGGCTTACTTAAAAGCAGAGGTGTGAAGGTCTCGCTGCAGCTCGCCTTGCCACCTGGACCGGCCTAACCGCTCCAAAATGCAGTAGGAGAAGTCGGGGAGCTTGAGGTCGGGGTCCCCCTCCATGCCTATCAGAGCTCTGTAGCGCATGTCCTGGGAGGCGACAATGATCAGCTTCTTGCCCCACCTACAAGTCAGAAACAGCCACGAGCAGAAGTTAAGTGTGCCAAGGAGCCGGGCACTGGTGGCTCACCCCTGCAATCTGGCTGCTCAGGAGGCTGAGACCTGAGAAAGGAAGTTCAAAGGCAGCCTGGACAGACAAAGCTGAGGGACTCTAATTTCTAGCTAGCCAGCAAAACGCCACACGTGGAGGTGTGGGAGAGCACCAGCCTTGAACAGAAAAGCTAAGCAAGAGCTCAAGGCCCTGAATTAAACACACACACACATACACACACACACACACACACCACAAACACACACACACACACACACACACACACACACACACACACACACACACTCCACTACCAGCAAACGGCCCTGAATTAAACACACACACACACACACACACACACACACTCCACTACCAGCAAACGGAAACACGAGTCATCATTTCCTCTTGCTTCTGAGAGGTTCACAATCCCCCCAAATTAACTAAGCAAAATTTCAGTGTCAGAACCAGGCCAGGAGCTCCCCATGGTCGGTGAGCCCGTCCCAGACGGGGCCTCCCTGCCTCCCCCGCCAGCACACCCACACGGCCCTCTTCTTTCTAAACACGCTGCAGAGCTGTGGGGCTGCTGCCCAGGCTCTCTGCCAGCTGCTTTCCTCCTGGACCTTCTAAGAAATGTTCCTTATCTTTCAGGTCACAGCTCAGTGGCCAGCTTCCAGAAAAATACTAACCAGAGTTCTAACCGCTCCTACCCTGTCACTCAGCACTCCTAGAATGGAAGTTTTGTTTTTTGGACACTTCTCTGTTCCCCCTCACTCAAACATGAGCAGGCAGAGACCCTTAGTGCCTAGATTCCTGTGTTAAGTGAATGAACTTTGCTAGTGAGCTAAGCTGCTTTGATCAAAACCAACCTCAGGGTCTAAAACACTGAACTGGAGCCAGTGGCTCACTCTATACCCCTAGCACACTGGGATGAGCATGTTCAAGGCTAGCCTTAGCACAAAAGTTTAGGGGACCCTCTTCTCAGTCCATAGCTGAGTGCCAAGATGCGCTTAACAACCTCAAGTTTCATGGTAAGCTGAGATGGGGTAGATTGAGTTTCCCGGCCAGCCCAGGCAGAAAGTGCTCCGGACTCTATCTCCACAGAGGAAGCTGGGCTGGCTGGCACACACTTATCACTCCAAGCAACAATAGGAGGCCTAATAAATTAAGTGGTTCAAGGTCCAGGTATGTGCTAGACAAGGGAGCTAGACTCTATCTCAAATATGACCAACAAAAAGCAAGTCTGGAGCATGGCTCAGTGGTATAGTGCTTGTTCAAACTCTAGTACTATAAACAAAACAAAACACACAAACAAACAGAAATCCAACCCACACTAAACTGTGATCATCAGTGGACTGAAGTCTAACTTTCACTTAATTGATAATGACCAGGTTTTGCACAAATGATTAGTTCTAAGTCCTAATGGCTGTGTTAGCAGAAATTATGCCTTAAAGAGGTCCAGAGCACTTCCTAGCTGGGTGCTTTAAACTGTCACAGATCTGTTCTGTTGGTGAGACTCCTGGCCCCCTGGCTGCAGCTTCCGGCTGGAGGCCAGAGCTGCGTGCAGATTAAACTGCCATCTGCCACACACAGCCCGCTCCCTGTGTGGCCTAGGAGGAGTGGGTGCAGAGCGCAAACACTTGAAAGCATTCTAGTGCCAAGCAACGCCACCTGCCAGGCCTAAATGCTCAGCGCCCAGGTTGGAAGTCACTGAGGCACGCTCCTGCGTGGCCTACAGAGGGGCGGCTGGTGCCTGGGTGGCAATCAAGGTAAAGCTGGGAGGAGGAGGTTGTGACTGGGCATTCTGAGCAGAAGGAAAAGCACCCCACACAGGCCTTGGTCCTCAGAAACAAGGGGGTACTGAGTGCTGCTGAAGCATGGTAGGGAACAGGCACGCTGGGAGACCCAAGGTGGCAAGGGACAGGGAGCAGACCTGAACACAAGCTTAGGTGTCCAGCTCAGGCTCATCTGCAGAGGACTCTGGTCCACAGAGCCCGGGGAACAGGAGGTCCAGGAGCAGGTAGGGGACAATGGTGGGGGAGGGGGCACTGGCTAGAGTACACTGTATCTGCGTGCCTTACATATGCTAAGAAAAAATCAGCCATACTAGCTTAGCTGTTCTTGCTATTTTGAAGAGAAACTGGAACTCCATGTATCTAAGTATTAGCAGTGAGCTACAATTAAAAGCAAACACAGGGCTGGGAGCCAGTAGCTCACGCCTGTGATCCTAGTTACTCAGAAGGCTGATATCTAAGGATTGCAGTTCGAAGCCAGCCCAGGAAAACCCGTGAGACTCTTATCGCCAATAAACCACTCGGAAAACCAGAAGTGGCACTGTGGCTCAAGTGGTAGAGCACTAACCTTGAGCTGAAGAGCTCAGGGACAGCGCCCAGGCCCAGAGTTCAAGCCTCATGACTGACCAAAAAAAAAAAGTCTCACGGACTTTCCTGCCCAGGCTGGCTTTGAATCACGATCCTCAGATTCCAGCCTCCTGAGTAGCTAAGATTACAGGCATGAGCCACTGGCGCCCAGCCTATATACCATCTTTATAATAACAATCTTAAAAGATTTTTTTTTAAAGGAGTGAAGGTCAGAGGTGAGAAAGAACATGGGGTGAGGAGCTGGGCTTCTGGAGAAGGAAATGGAAGCATCTAGATCAAGCCTGGGGGGGGGGGGCTACCATTTCTTGTTTCCTGAGAAGGAAGGGACATATGGAAGTACTGCACTGGAAGACAAGGGGGTACTGCAGGGGGCTCACACTGGCAGCTCTCCACATCCTTTTAAGCAGGAAGAAGGGGTAGAACCAGGCTGGGGACTTGAGGAAAATCACAATTTGAATTGGCCTCTGCTGGGAGAGGCTCTCTGCCTGAGAGCTCACAGGACAGCTGGGGAGAAGCGGGCCTGGCTACAAACAGAGCCAAAGGCCCTGTGTGAATGCTGGCTTGTCCACCATCCCCAACTGTGCAGGACTGCAGGCATGAAGGACAGGGGCAGCCCACAGGGGCGGAGGGAGTGAAGGAGGCCCAGGATGCACCCCAGACTTCCCCAGGGCAGTTTCTGAGGGCGCAAGTCCACTACCTGTCAAAGGCTTCGGCCATGGTACAGCGGGGTTGCAGCGTCTTGGTCCTGATGCTGCTGGTGATGTTCTTCCTCTCCTTGAAGTAGCGGCATGAGCCCTGGATGCCGTCCTTGTTCTCCAGGATCATATGGATGGGATAGACGTCCTCCAGAGGCACCGGGTCCCGCCTGGACTCCAGAATCCCAGTCTCCAGATCAATTTCTTCATACCTAGGGGCAGAGCGTGCACATGAAACACACACCCCCACCCCAGCTCCAGAAATAATGCTGACCCCAGCAGAGACCACAGAGAAGAGGCTGGTCTGCTCTGACTTCATGTCCCACCAGGACAGGTGGACAAGTGGGTTCCTGCCCTTCCCATGATCCTCTAAAACACCTTGAGAACTGGATACTGGACCCAAACTATCTGACTGACCTGGGCCATGACCTTTTGGTGTCTTTCCCCATGTGGGCCCAGGCTCCAGATGCCTGAGTTTGGAGGGAACTTGAACTTGCAGTGTCAAGACTTTCTCCCTCTAAGCTGACATCTTCCCATCTCTGTGCTGGTAGCTTGCTGGCACCCTCGTTCATTTGAATGGCTTCCCTTATCATGGGCATGGACAGCTCTCACGTGAGTCCTCAGTCCTGTTTACTTTCCTAAATGCCAGGCAGAAGCCGGGCACTGGTGACTCATGCCTGTAACCCTAGTCACTTAGAAGGTTGAGATCTGAGGGCCAAGGTTGGACTCTAGAAGCTGGTCTACACAGGAAAGTGGGTGAGACTCTTATTTCTAGTCAATCAGCAACATTCCAGATGTGGAGGTGTGTGTTAAATGGTAGAGTGGCAGCCTTGAGCAAGAAACACTAGGTGAGAGCTTAAGGCTCAACTACCAGCATGCATGCTCACATACACGCACGATATACGTACATGTGCACACAAACACACACTCACAAAGAAACGAAGCCCCCTGACTGTACTCCATATACCATCCCGAGCTTGTGTGATTTTCCTCAATGCCAAGCTCTTCCACCACGCACCATCAATACACAGCTCTTTCAAGCTTTCTTTCTAGTCTTTCTGGGATGATTCACTACACTATTCATCCCTCTATTCACATGGCCTGTCAGAGTTTTTTTTGCCAGTTCTAGGGCTTGAACTCAGAGCTGGGTGCTGTCCCTGAGCTTCTTTTTTGCTCAAGGCTAGCACTCTACCACTTGAGCCACAGCACCACTTCCAGCTTTTTCTGTGTATGTAGTACTCAGAAATCGAACCCAGGGCTTCATGCACGCTAGGCAAGCCATCTACCACTAAGCCACCTTCCTAGCCATGTCAAGGCGCTTTAGTAGTGGGTTGAAGACTCTGCCTTCTCTCTCCAGCCTGGAAATGCAGGTGCAGTGGCCTGGGAGGAGCCTGGAGCCTTCCAATCACAAAGCACTCTCTCTGAGGGAGGATCAAGGCCAGCCGCCTTAATGACCAAGTTCTCTGGATGACTCAGAGAGGTCTAGCTCAGTCCCTCCCTCCAGCCAGCCTCCTTCCCAGGAAGCCAGATGTTTACTAAACAATCTTAACTTGGCCAACCTAAAGGAAGCTCAGCGTCAGTGAGTCTCAAAAGTTCTTTTAGCATCTCCCTCATCTCCACAAGGCTCCAGTTTCCTCTGCCTCAGAGAAGGGAACAAGTACTCTCACCTGCTGCCCAAGCCACGAACACCTGGGGCACAAGCTAGATCCCTACCTTTCCTCCCACTTCACTTCCAACCAGTTACCAATCCCTCTTGGCTGTCTTACCTAATGTCTCCCCAACCCTTCTCTTCATTTCCACATTCAAACTAACTAGACTGGTTTCCCACAAATCTCCCAGCACCTTCTCATTCCAGACTGGGCCCCCCTCCTGGGGCTTTGTAATAAAGGGCAAACACCCCCGAGAGGAAAAAATGATCACTGATTACCTCTCTGTGAAATGATTAAAAGTGGATTCTGGATCCAGATCTCTTAAGCTCCAATTCTAGAATCTATTCTTGCTAGTTGATGGCCTTGAGCATGTCACCTTATCATGCCTGCCCCCCACCCCGAATCCTCTCTCCTTAACAATGAGATAATACCCCTCAACAGGCTGTTGTAAAAAACCTTGCTCTATTTAAGTAATGACACTTATGTTTCAGTGGCAACTAATATTCCTCATTCTCTACTTCTGATTCTACATGCTAAAGCCAAATTCAGCTGATTTCTTTTCTCTTTCATGTTTGCTGTTTTGTTTGGAATAATCTTTATCCAACGTTTAAGTTTTTTTTTGGGGGGGGGGGTCTAGTCGTGGGGCCCGAACTCTGGGCCTGGGCACTGTCCCTCAGCTCTTCAGCTCAAGGCTAGCACTCTACCACTTGAGCCACAGCGCCACTTCCAGCTTTTTTCTTTTTGCTTATGTGGTGCTGAGGAATCGAACCCAGGGCCTCATGCATGCAAGGCAAGCGCTCTACCACTGAGCCACCTTCCCAGTCCCTCAACGTTTAAGTTTTTTCTTGTATATTATTATTTTTTTTGGGGGGGGGGGGTTCCAGTTGTGGGGCCTGAACTCTGGGTCTGGGCGCTGTCCCTCAGCTCTTCAGCTCAAGGCTAGCGCTCTACCACTTGAGCCACAGTGCCACTTCCGGCTTTGTTCTTTTTGCTTATGTGGTGCTGAGGAATCGAACCCAGGGCCTCAAGCATGCAAGGCAAGCGCTCTACCACTGAGCCACCTTCCCATCCCTTTCTTGGATATTATTAACTCAGGGACCTCCCCTGAGACCTTTACAATATGGCTTAAGAACACTTGCCTGGAGTGGTACTACACTCCTGTAATCCCTGCTACTCGGGAGGCTGAAGCAGGAGGATTTGAGAGTTCCAGGCCAGTCTTGACTAACATAACAAGACTGTCTCAAAATAAAAAATTCTGAACTGGGCACTGGTGGCTCACACCTGTAATTCTAGCTACTCAGGAGGCTGAGATCTGAGGATTGCAGTTCAAAGTCAGCCCAGGCAGAATACTCTGTTAGACTCGTATCTCCAATGAACCACCAGAAAACCATAAGTGGCACTGTGGTTTAAGTGGTATAGCACTAGCCTTGAGCTGAAGAGTTCAGGGACAGCGCCCAGGCCCAGAGTTCAAGGCCCATGAAAATAAAAATAAAAATTCTGCCAGGTGTCAGTGTCTCACACCTATAATCTTATCTACTCAGGAGGCTAAGATCAGGGAATCACAGTTCAAAGCCAGCCCAGGCAGGAAAGTCCATGAAATTCTTATCTCTAATTAACCACCAAAGAGCTGGAAGTAGACAGCACTAGCCCTGAGCAAAAAGAGCTCAAAGACAGGGCTGGGAAAGTGGCTCAGTGGTAGAGTGCTTGTCTTGCTTGCATGAGGCCCTGGCTTCGATTCCTCAGCATCACATAAGCAGAAAAAGCCAGAAGTGGTGCTATGGTTCAAGTGGTAGACCACTAGCTTTGAGCTGAAGAGCTGAGGGACAGTGCCCAGGCCCAGAGTTCAGGCTCCACGACTGACAAAAAAATAAAAACAAGACTGACAAAAAAATAAATAAAACAAGCCAGGCGCCAGTGGCTCACGCCTGTAATCCTAGCTACTCAGGAGGCTGAGATCTGAGGATCATGGTTCAAAGTCAGCCTGGGCAGGAAAAGTCCGTGAGACTCTTATCTCCAATAAACCACCAGAAAACTGGAAGTGGTGCTGTGGCTCAAGTGGTAGAGGGCTTGCCTTGAAGAGCTGAGGGACAGGGCCTGCCTAGGCCCAGAGTTCAAGCCCCATGACCGATAAAAATAAACAAAACAACAACAAAAAAGCTCAGGGGCAGAGCCCAGGCACTGAGTTCAAGCTCCAGGACCTGCACACATTACTTTAAAAAAAAAAAAAAAAGCTGGGTACACATTAATTTTTAAAGAGGCTGAAATCTGAGGATTGTGGTCCAAGGAGAGACCAGGCAGGAAAGTCTATGAGACTCTTATCTAGAAGTAACAACCCAAAAACCAGAAGTAGCACTGTGGATCAAACTGGTAGAGTGCTAGCCTTAAACAAACACACTCAGGGACAGGGCCCAGACGGAGTTCATGCCCCATGACGCCCCCCCCCCCCACCAAAGGGGTGGGGGGGGGGGAAAGACTGGTGTTAACAGTTCAGGCCTATAAATCTCAGCTACTTCACAAGACTGAAATCTGAGGGTCAAGGTTTAAAGCCAGCCTGTGCAGGAAAAGTCCATGAGACTCATCTCCAATTAATAACTAGCAAAAAGCCAGAAGCGGAGTTGTGGTTCAAATGGTAGAGCACTACTACTAACCTTAAGTGGGAAACGCTATGGGGACAGTACCTAGGTCCTGAATTTAAGAAAAAAAAAATTTTAAGGGTTAGGGGATGTAGGTCAAGTGGTACAGTGTTCACTTAGCTCGTGTGGAACACTAGTTCAAGCTTAATATCATGCAACAAAAAAAAATACTACCAAAACCTCGGGCTCTGTCGGTGGTTTAGTTTCTTCCTCTGTCTTGAAAAAGAAAACAGTTCCTTTTTTTTTTTGTCCTCACAGAGTCCTGCATGGTGCGGATCAGGTGAGCTCAGTCAGTCCAGCTCTCAGAACAGCAGCTCATTGTCAGCACCGCCTGCAGCCCAGCAGCTAAAGACCCGAGGCTCACGGCTGTAAAAACCTGCAGCCATGCAGATTTAGCGGCTTCAGCTTTCTACTCCGGACTCGACCCCCGAATGCCTCACAAAGCTTTGAGGGCGCTCCCAACCCCTGATCCCTGATCGGGCCTTCCTGCTCGCATGTCAAGGAAAGACTCTGGGGCTCCAGCACCCCCCCACCCCCACGCCCCGCCCAGGGCCCCAGTCCCGCTCCGTCCCGAGCCCCACGGCACCGGGCGTAATGGGACACCAAGCCCCACCGGAGCAGATTCCCGGGCCTTGCCAGCCCCGGGAGGCTCCAGCCCGCGTGCCCGGCGGCCCCTGCGCCCCGCGGGCCCTCCCGCGCTCCCCGCCGGCCCCCCGGCCCCCGAGGCCCGGGCCCCCGGCCTGGAGGCTGACCGGTCCTGGAGCTGCAGGTCGGGTCGCTCGCGAGGCTCCTCGTAGAAGCTGATGCCCGGGTGCGTGGCCAGGGCCCGCCACAGGAACTCCTGCGTGTACGGCTCCAGAATGAGTGGGAAGGGGGGCACCCGGGTCTCCAGACGACTCCACAGAGCGGGCAGACATAAGCCATCGAGTCCCTCCAGGGCCACCTCGTCCAACAACGACTCCAGCGCGTCCATGGCTGCCTCAGTTGGCAGAGCCCGGGGGCGCATGCGCGCCTCGCCGCCCGAGAACTACCCTCTCCCGACTCAGGGCGCCTGCGCAGAACGATCGGCGGCGCGGGGAGGCGGGTCGGACGCAGACTAGGAGGAGGAGTCGCGCGCCGAGGTGACGTCACGCGCGTAGGGGCGGGATCCGTGAGTGGGACCTCGGCCGCCATTGGTGGAGAGTCCCGCTGTAACCAGGGGAACTGCAAACATTGTAGAGGCCACTTCCGGTCCGAGCACCCGGAACCGCCACCTGTAGGGATGGACGGTGAGTGTCCTCGGGCCCCACCGGGAGGTCGGGCGGTTATTCTCTCGTCCGTCTTGAGTCCTCCCGAGGCGGAATGCCAGGCCGTAGGCCTCTCGGATGGCCGTCGGCCGCGTGGTGGTGTCCGGCGTGAGGGAAAGGCGGGCTGGGCGTGTGGGACGGGGAGCGGAGGCGCGGTCGCGGGCCGGCCACCCTGCCCGGCCGAGGTCGCGGGGGAGCCCGGTTCCGGACGCACGTTCAGTGATGGATTCTGAGGAGAAGCGGGGACCTGGGGACTCGGGGAGCTCAGAAAACTCTCTCTTCTCCCCCCGGGTGCTTTGGCGGTCCGTCACCCGCGTCTAGAGAGAGTATGGCTCCCGGCCGGGAACTCGGGGCGGCCCACACCCGGGCCACTTTCCTGAGTACTTTTGAGGGGCACCGTTACGTTGTTTTACAGTGAAGGAAACCGATTCCTGGGAGTTAAGTGTCTTGCCCAGATTCCCCCGCCAACAAGCCAGCAGCAGAATGGCAGAAAGACTTGAGGAGCCCAGATGCCCCTAGATGACGAGAGGAATGGTGGAGGGGGGCCCTTCATCCCCGAGCTTGCTGATGCACTCCGTCTGCGGGCTCAGGTCTAAGGAGGCCGCGGTGGAAAGTCAGTCCCCACCCCATCTGAAAGAGGAGATGCTCCCTTTTCAAGTTCCAGCCAATCGTCTCCTTGGAGCATTTCTCAAAACGATCAACTGCAGCCAATCAACCTGCAGCCAGTGGTCGTCTTGGGCCGCCACGGAGGGGATCCCTCCCCCCCCCCCCCCAATTAGAACACAGCATTGATGCCGGGAAGCCATTTGAAAATGGCTTCTCTGATACCTTCCTTTGCAAATGGAAAGGCTAATAATGTCCAGAGACTGGTATAGTCTGTGGTAGAATCCAGACCTTTTTCCAAATTTCACTTTTGGCTCTTATATTCCCATAAATGCAGTGTTGGGGGCGGGGCGTTGGGGATGAGGGATTGGATTTCTTTTGGGAGGTACTGGGGATTCAACCCAGAGCCTCTCACTTGCTAGGCAAGAGCTCTGCCATTCCCTAGTCACTTTTGCTGTGCTAGTTTCTCTCTCTCCCTCTTTCTTTTCTTTCCTTTTGATAGAGTCTTAGTGATTCTGCCTGGGAGGGCCTCTGGTTTTGATCTTTCTCCCTTTTCCCTCCACCTCCTGAGTAGCTGGAAGTATAGGCACTTATGTGTTCCCCACCCCCAGTGTTTTTTGTTGAACATTGTGTCTTGTGCTTAAAAGGCACCTTTGCCCTCTGTACTTGGAGACACTGCACAAATGGCTTTTGGCATTTTACCCTGTGGAAAGGTCAATGTAAAGTAGCTATCAAACAACAGTTCTTAAACTTTTTAAGCCTGCAGTCATCTTTAGCTCTTCCAAGCTTAAAAGAGCTTTATTGAGCTGGGGGCATGTTCTTTCTTTCTTTCTTTCTTTCTTTCTCTCTCTCTCTCTCTCTCACACACACACACACACACACAGAGCTTTGTGTTCCAGCTATGTTTATCAGAAATAAACCCTGAGCTGTGCCCCACTCATAATCCTTACTGGTCTGAAGGTTTATAACCAGAGGATTGAAGTTTGAAGCCAATAGGGAAGAAGAGTCTGTGAGACTCTGTCTTTAAAATAACCAGTAAAGCCAGGTGCTGGTAGCTCATGCCTGTAATCCTAGCTACTCAGGAGGCCGAGATCTGAGTTCAAAGCCATCCCAGGCAATAACATCCATGAGATTCTTACTTCTAGAAAACCAGAAGTGGAGCTGTGGCTCAAGTAGTAGAGTGCTAGCCTTGCGCTGAAGAGCTCAGAGACAGCACTCAAGCCCAGAGTTCAAGTCCCCCACCCCCCCACCCGACAAAAACAGTAAAAAACAAACAAACAAACTGGAACTATGACTCAAGTGGTAGACAGTCAGTCAGCAAGCTGAGCTAGTACAAAGCCCTGAGTTCAAACTCAACTACTACCAGAAGAAAAAAACAAAACACCAACACTGAGAAAGTCTTCAGACAGTTAATTTATTAAAAAAATAACAGACCCATTTACTTCTGAATATAAATATTTTAATGGATATACTTCCCACTGCAAGAGTGGTATTGCTAGCTAGGCTCTGGTGGCTCACACCTGAGAAGCTAGCTTCTCAGGAGGCTGAGATCTGAGGATGGCAGTTCAAAGCCAGCCTGGGCAGGAAAGTCCCTGTGAGACTTATCTCCAGTAAACCACTCAGAAAACCAGAGGAGTTATGGCTTAAGTGGTAGAGCACTAACCTGGAGCTGAAGAGCTGAAGGACAGTGCCCAGGCCAAGAGTTCAAGGCCCACAACTGACCAAAAAAAAAAAAGGCTTTTTTTTTTTTTTTTTTTGCTTTCTTAAATCTCTTCCATGTTCAGCGTAATAGAAAACAGCTTGAGTCTCATTTTGGCATGCCAACTTTTTGGGTTTTTGTTTTTGTGGTTGGTGGTGGTTTTGTTGTTGTTGTTGTTGTTTTGTCATTCGTGGGCCTGGGCCTGGCACTGTCCCTCAGCTCTTCAGCTCAAGGCTAGTGCTCTATCACTTGAGCTACAGTGCCACTTCTGACTTTTTCTGCTTATGTGGTGCTGAGGAATCGAGCCAGGGCCTCATGCATACAAGGCGAGCACTCTACCACTGAGCCACCTTCCCTGCCCTAGTGCCAGCTTTTTGTGAGCTCATAGGTTATGAAGATTTGGCCTCACACAGAGGAATTCCTATAGTGTGTCTTGCCTTTTGACTGGCTATATCAGTAGCCATAGGTCAATTGGAAAATGTGAAATCAATAAGTTACACAAATCCATCAAGAGGTGCCATTGGAAGGGTTATTACCTAATGTCAGTGGCACAGTTAACATCATTACCTATTTGGATTTTTAAAGAGAACTTAAAATCGGGGAAACTAATAAAGTAGTAGAATTAAGTTTTCTGTTATTTTCACTTGAAAACTTCATTTAATCATTAGCAACAAATACTGTCAGTATTGTCAATATTTTCTTGAATCGACAGGCTCTCTTCATTTAAGAAAATATCCACCAAATACCTAACTGAGTATCTATCACTCATCACTTGTAGTTCATGTAGGTAAAAATACTTTGAAAAAATATATAATTATAGGTTGAGATTTTTCAAAAATTTCAATACCTAAGGCTGGATGTTATTGACTCATGCTAGCTACTCAGATGGCTAAATCTGAGAGATTCTGTCTCCAATTAACCAGCAAAAAACAAGACTGGAGGCAAAACACCCTCAGAAATCGGGCTGCAGACTACCTCCAGGAAGCCTGTGTTGTTCCATCTGGCTGCTGACCATCTCTGTACTGAAAGCATGATACAGTCTTGTGAAAGAATCTCTTTGTTTTCAGATTGGTTACAAAAGGAGGCTACTCCGAAGGCTGATATCTAAGGATCCCAGTTTGAAGCCATCCCAATCAGGAATGTCCATGAGACTTACCCCATTTAACCAACAAGAAGCTGGAAGTGGAGCTGTAACTCAATTGGTAGAGAGCCAGTCTTGAACAAAGAAGCCAAGAGAGAGCCTGAGGCTCTAGCCCTGGCCCAGAGTTCAAACCCCAGTACCAGCGCATGCACACAACACAAATTGGTTGTAAAAAGAAACCTTTAGTCTAAGAAAGCATTATTTACTCTAACATTAGATTTAAGCTTTAGGGAATCCCATTGTCCATTCAATTTTTTTTTTTTTTTGTCAGTTGTGGGGTTCGAATGTAGTGCCTGGGCGCTGTCTCTGAGCTCTTTTGATCAAGGCTAGCACTCTACCACTTTGAACCACAGCGCCACTTGTTTTCTGGTTGTTAATTGGAGATTTAGAGTCTCCTAGATTTTCCTGCCCTGGCTGACTTTGAACCTCCATCCTCAGATCTCAGCCACTTGAGTAGCTAGGATTACAGGCACGAGCCACCAGTGCCCTGATACCATTCCAAATTTTAAAACCAGGCTGGGAATGTGGCCTAGTGGTAGAGTGCTTGCCTAGCATGCATGAAGCCCTGGGTTCAATTCTTCAGTATCACATAAACAGAAAAGCCAGAAGTGGAACTGTGGCTCAAGTGGTAGAATACTAGCCTTGAGCAAAAGAAGCTCAGGGATAGTGCCCAGGCCCTGAGTTCAAGCCCCAGGATTGGCCAAAACAAACAAAAATACACACACCATGATTTATCTCAAATATTTATAGAGACATATCTATTGGTTAGAGCAAAATATGCCTTAATGAATTTGATTGTAGTCAACTAAATAGAGCAAGGCTGCCTTACTAGGGCAATGGCTCATTTCCTCAGCTCATAGCATACATGTGGGAACAAATGACCCCAAACTGGACAAACTGGTTTCTTCTGCAAACACTAGAGCTTTTCTCTTGGTTTTTTGACTTGGGGCCCATCCTGGCAGTCTCGGGAGCAGTACGATTAACACTCCTGGGTTGGGAGAAGGGCTGTAGATTGGAATCTTCGAGGTTCATTTGTGAGCCTCAGTTTTCTTGTCAATAAAAGATGGTGAAGCCTGCTTTGTTAAAGTCATGTCTGAAAGTGTTTAGTATACCGTCTGGCAATCAGGAGAATGTAGCCAAGGTGTGGATACCTGTAAACCAGCAGCCTTTTCTCAAGCGCTGGTAGAACAGAAAGTCACTTCAGATAAAGCTCTAGGCAACTGCATTTGTGTGTGTGTGTGTGTGTGTGAGAGAGAGAGAGAGAGAGAGAGAGAGAGAGAGAGAGAGAAGTGGGGATTGAACTTGGGGCCTTGTTTGGCTTTTTCACTCAAGGCTGATGCTCTGTCACTTGAGCCACAGCTCCACTTTTGGCTTTTTGGTGGTTAATTGGAGATGTGTCTCACTTCCTTGCTTGGGCTGGGTTTGAAACATAATCTTCGGATCTCAACCTCCTAAGTAGTTAAGATTATAGGTCTGAGTCACCAGCACTGGGATCTTTGTAATTGCTCTCTCTTTGTTTAGAATGAAGCCCACATCTGC